TGTGGGAGGCAACCAATTGGTTTTTCTCTTTTTCCTCTCTCTTTCTTTCTTTCTCTCTTTCTCTTCCCCTCACCCTTCCTCTTTATAAGTCAATTTTTAAAAATTGTTAAAGAAGTTCAGAGAGGAGACTGTTAAGCTCAAGTTCCCAGGAGAAATGCAATATGATCAGTACATACAGAAAATATATTTAACCAGATATTAAGATGGTCTGTGAAAACAGAATTAATTCGGAGTCCATGGAACCTAAAATTAAGATAGGGATTTTTTCTTTTTTGTAATCCTCACCTGAGGATATATATATATTTTTTTATCCTCACCCGAGGACATTTTTTGATATTTTGTTCAGATAGAGTGGGAGGGAGGGAGAGAGAGAGAAACATCGATGTGAAAGGGACACATTGAGTAGTTGCCACCCGCACAACCCAACCAGGGCCGGGGACAAACTGCAACTGAGGTACATGCCCTTAGCGGGAACCGAACCCGGGTCTCTGGGGACCGCAGGCCGACGCTCTAACCACTGAGCCAAACCAGCCAGGGCAGATATTTTTACATTAATCTTCAGATAGAGCTGGAGGGAGAAAGGGAGGAAGAGAGAGAGAGAAAAACATTGATGTAAGAGAGACACATGGATTGGTTGCCACCCAAACAATTCCAACTGGGGCCGGGGGCAAACTGCAACCAAGGTACGTGCCCTTGACCAGAATCGAACCCAGGACTCTTTGGTCCCCAGGCAACACTCTTACTGCTAAGCCATACTGGCCAGGGCAAGATAGGGATTCTTTTATTTCATTTTTTATTATTATTTTTTTTATCTTCATCCAAGAACATTTTTGCTTTTATCTTCAGATAAAGCGGAAGGGAGAGAGGGAGGAAGAGAGAGAGAGAGAAACATCAATGTGAGATAGACACATCAACTGGTTGCCACCCACATGACCGGGCCGAGGACAAATTGCAACCAAGTTACATGCCCTTAGTGGAAACCGAATCTGGGACTCTGTGGTCCGTGGGCCAACACTCTAACTGCTGAGCCAAACCGGCCAGGGAAAGATAGGGATTCTTTTTTTTTTTTTTTATCCTCACCCGAGGACGTTTTTCCATTTTTTGTTCAGGTAGAGTGGGAGGGAGAGAGAGGAACAGAGAGAGAGAGAGAAACATCGACGTGAAAGGAACACATCGAGTGGCTGCCACCCGCACGACCGACCAGGGCCGGGGACAAACTGCAACCGAGGTACATGCCCTTAGCGGGAACCGAACCCGGGTCTCTCTGGACCGCAGGCCGACGCTCTAACCGCTGAGCCAAACCGGCCAGGGCAAAGATAGGGATTCTTAACATGGAATCACGGAGGGGCTCTCAGAAGGTCCATGAACTCCCTGACATTACCTCTGAAATTATAATATGTATGTGCATACAGACATTTTTCTGGACACAAAGATGCTATCTTTCATTACATTCTCAAAGGTAAAGAACTATTTCACTAGGATCTTATCCTAAAAATGACTTTTCTATCTCTATTAGAGAAGTTTTAAGACCTAATCTTTTACTCAAAATAAGAGATCTGGATAGCCTAGAGGTCAGAGAAGAGCTTCTGAACTTTCCATAACTTGGCAAAAAATAGTGATTGCTGAAAAAGAGGGCAATGAGAGAGTCCTTTCCATATTGCAGTTGAAGTTAGCCTAAATATATTTTCCCATATACTCAGATACCATGGTGACAGGCATCATATAAATAGACAGTGGTATCAGGGAGTAGGTCAGGGCTTGTAGTATCTGTAAAACCAACCTATCAGGCAGGATTAAACCCTCAACTAACACAACTGACTTCTTGTCCTTTAGACAAAGCCTGGGAATTCCATATAAGAATTTAGAAGGGGACCTTTGGCTACTTCCCCAATAAGAAAAAGCTACTATAGCCCTGACCAGTTTTGCTCAGTGGTTAGAGCATCTGCCTTAGGACTGAAGGGTCTCGGGTTCAATTTCAGTCAAGGGCACATACCTGGCTTGCAGGTTCAATCCCTGGCCCAGGTTGGAGTCGTGCAGGAGGCAACCAATTGATGTGTCTCTCTCATATTGATGTTTCTCTCGCTCTCTCCCTCCCTCCTTCCCTTCCACTCTCTCTAAAGCACAATAAAAAAATATCCTTGGGTGAGAATTAAAAAAATAAATAAAAAGCTACCACAGTGAACAGTATAGAAATAAAAATTACCACTCAAAGTGCAGGGATATTAAACACCCACATTCCAAATGACAAAAAGCATTTGGATCCTAGCTGACTGCTTCCTAGACACCCAAGGACTTCTGTGTGTCCAATCTAACAATACATATGCCTTACCAGTCTTATTTATAAATAAAATTCAATTAAAGTTTGCAACACATGTATGGGCAAGCATCTATACATGTAAGCATATTTGCCATGATGAGTTTTAATAGCTCCCTCAAATCCCTAAGTCTAGAAGGCAAAGAACGAATGAAAACATGGACATACCATCATATGAGAGGTGGCACCAGCCAATAAGTAGGTGGATCCACCACAGTTACATTTGTATTCATTCACTGCAATATTATACATTATTATGGGCTCTGATGCATATGTAGTGTAATATTTTGCAGCATTCCTTAACACCTGATGTTCTACATCTCACTGTAATCTTCATGTATGAACACATGAAGCCAGAGTTCCAGGAGGGCCCATCCAGTCTATATAGGAAAAGGAGCTAACCTCATTTGGCAAAGAACTCTAGCACAAATGCCTATGCCTTAGAAGCAAGCAGTCATCCAGGCCTCACTAATGGCACTCCTCTCAATCTATCAAGGGTCTTAGAATGCCAATCAATCAGTTCTGAAATGGCTCATAATTACAAACAGAGCTGACATCACTGAAAGTACTCAAAGACACAAAGTCAACTGGCTAACACAGAATGGTCTCCTGCCCCACAATTCCCTTGCCAGATGGGGAAATGTAAGAGCCATAAAAGACATTTTAAATTTTTTTTAAAAGATAACTGCCTCTTTAAACAAAAAATGAGGGCAATGCATTATGGGGTTCATAACCTATGTAAAAGTAAGATGTATGACAACAACAGCACAAGGGATAGGATATAAGGTCGAGAGATAGGAGAGCAATGGGAAGCTCAGGGCCCCAGGAAGATAGTCAGAGTGAACAGCAGAAGGCAATGTGGAAAAGGTAATGTGAACAGTGCAATGAGGAAGGAAGTCAACAGATGATAAGGATGGGAGAAAAGCCACAGAAATCCCAGGGGCCAGAGATGGGACAGCTAGGATAGAAAGGAAAGAAAATAGAATGAAAGAAAATAAAACCAGAAGAGAATCAGAAGCAAGCAGAAACAATCAATACCACCAACTCTTTAGTACTATAATATATAACTTCATCTTAGCTACATAGGTACATACATAAACCATATGTACTTGTTATAAATCCTACAACTGTACTGACATCCACAGATTTGCATCATTTTCATGTTTCTCTCTAAAACTAAATTTTTAGAGCCTAATAATCATATAACTAACTATTCATAGGCAACCATAGTAGTCCTTTATATTAAAAAGAACTATTCCTACCTAAGAAATTCTACTAACTTTAGTCATTTCAATATCTTTTGATCTCTCTTTAGCTCTTCTGACATTCTGAAACTCTCACACAATCATCACTCTTTTATAAAATACAAAAATGCTACTATTGCCATTTAGTGTTATTCTCCTACTCCCCTTTCACCACCATAGGCATTAACTGCAAAGATCTTGCTAATCCATTAATTAAAGATCTCTACTTCCCATTATGGAGGACTAAATTTAGAAAGCCAAATTGGGTTGGGAGGAAACCAAGGAACAACAAGTCACAACAAGTGAGAAGAATTCCATAGAAGGGGGTGGGGTTACTGGCCCTTTTCTTAAAAAGCCTCTGACACTAACACACACCCCTCTGCTGAGAATACACAGAAGCTCTCCCATGGGTGGGGTAACCATTCATCACTATAATTATCTGGAGAAGACTTTATTGTACCATCAGGTCATGAAAGCCACAGGACCTATCAGCAAATGAATGCCTTAGGGAACAAGTCTCTTCTCTGTTTTCCTGTAAGCTCCAATTAAATTGCACCAAAGAAAGGGGTGGCAAGCCAGCATTAATTATACCCTTAGAGAAGAGCCACTTCCCGCCTGCAGGGGTGGCAGTGACTTTACTGGGCTACCAAAAGGATACAAAGACAAAAGTAAACACTGTAATTTGCTGTTTTTGTCTCTGGTACAGGGGGAGTGGTACAATTGACACTGTCTGTAAACAGTTATAACACCAGATGTAACAGAAAGAATAGGATTCCCCCATCTCTCCACCCCCTCTCCCTATGACATTTCTCCTGAGATTACTCATCGTGAAGAAACACACAAAAGCCTCCCTATAGTCCATATGCTGCTACCAAATGGAATTGAGGGAGAATCCAAGTTTGAACTGACTACTCTCTTACTCAAAGGAAGAAGCATTGGAACCCAAGAAATATTCAACTGTTTCTAAGAGCAGACAAAAAATATATATATACATATATATTCAGGGAAGAGGTGGAACAAGAGAATATGGACTAGATATGTGACATGCTCAAGTCTGGATTAGAACAAAAAATGACAAAAAATATAAATGAAAACAGAAGCATCCTAAGCAATCTAAAAAGTTTTTAAAAAATTCATCTTGTGGTCTGGCCAGTGTGGCTCAGCGGTTGAGCATTGACCCATGTACCAGGAGGTCGCCGGTTCGGTTCCTGGTCAGGACACATGCCCAGGTTGTGGGCTAGATCTCCAATGGGGAGCATGCAGGAGGCAGCCAATTGAAGTTCTCTCTCATTGATGTTTCTCTCTCTCTCCCTCTCCCTTCTGCTCTCTCTAAAATCAATAAAGGGGAAAACAAATTAAAAAAAAAAAATTCATCTTGTGCCCCAGCCTAAGGGCTCATAAAAGATATAGAAAAAGAGGATGAATTAAAGACTGAAAGTTACCTGACCAGAGTTCCCGCCAGGTGTAATGTAGGCGTACTCTACACTTCTTCTGGTAACAAAGTAGCTTATGTACTACCTGAATGCAGCGTCTGTAACAGAGAAAGTAAAACTGGAATAAGCCTAAGAATATGGTACAACTCATCAAACATAACCTTTCTTTAGTGAGGCAGCTTTGCTAAGGCCACTAAAGATGCTGGATATGAATCTGTACACATGCAAAAGAAAGGAACTTCTACCTGCAGCCTTAAGGTGGATAAATATCCGTGACACCCTCCCCACCACACATACACAAATATAAACACTGCTTGTACTAATTCCCCTTATCAGGAGGAAAAGAGGGCTATAACCACATATAGATCAATAGTCAATTAGGCGCTACTGATACTATTCCCTTGAATATCTTTCCTTGGAAGAAGAATGCATCAGTGGACCAGAATAAGACTATTCCATCCATTCAAAGTCGCAAACATAGGATGCAACATCACATTAAAGACCATAAATCTTTAGATCTATTTAAATGTTTTTGTTTTGTTTTTTTATCCTCACCCGAGGACATTTTTCCATTTTATGTTCAGGTAGAGTGGGAGGGAGAGAGAGGAACAGAGAGAGAGAGAAACATCGACATGAAAGGAACACATCGAGTGGCTGCCACCCGCACAACCGACCAGGGCCGGGGACAAACTGCAACCGAGGTACGCGCCATTAGCGGAAACCGAACCTGGGTCTCTCAGGACCGCAGGCCAACGCTCTAACCGCTGAACCAAACTGGCCAGGGCTATTTAAATGTTTTACATTTAAATCAAATTCTAAACAAAATTTAAGTTAATTACAAATTAATTAAAATGTAAATTTCATTTACATTAAAAGTTCAATTAAAAATTCACTTCTTCACTTTCACTAACCACATATCAAGTGCTCAATAGCCACCTATGGCTAGAGGCTACCATACTGGACAGCACAGATATCTGAAACCTTCTTATCATCACAAGAAAATTCTACTGGACAGTGCTGTTCTAGATCATAGGAATATTCAACAAGATTCACATCCCAACAATATATATGTTTTTTAGAATATTTCAAATAAGCAGTTAGTAAGTTGAGATGAAAGACATTTTTAAATACTATAAACCTAACAAAAAAATGTTTTTTCATCTCTGGGGAAGGGTTTTGAAAGCTAAAAAGCTATGGATGAAAGTACAAAGAAAAGTACCAATGGCCCTGGTTGGTTTGGCTCAGCAGTTGGAGCATCGATCAGCCTGCAGACCAGAGTCTAGGGTTCCGTTCCCACTAGGGGCACGTACCAAAAAAAAGACAAAAAAAGTACCAATGAAATTTACTTCCTAAAAATAAAAAATCTCATTTGATAAAAAAAAAAAGCTTTAGCCCAGCCAGTGTGGTTCAGTGGATTGAGCATCATTCCGTGGACTGAGAGATCCCGGTTCAATTCCCAGTCAGGGAACATGCTTGGGTTTCTGGATCTATCCCCAGTAGGGGGCATGTAGAAAGCAGCCAATCAATATATCTCTCTCAAATTGATGTTTCTCTCTTTCTAAAAAGATCAATAAAAACATATTTTCGAAAAAAAATTTAATGAAATTAAAAGCCAAACAATATGGAAAATTATATTTGCAGCAAAAACATGAAAGGGTTACTCTGCTTAATATATATACTTATATATATATTTATACAAATTAATAAAGAAAAAATAAATATTCCTAATAAGAAAGATGGGCAAAGAAATGGTCAGTGAATTCCCCCAACCCCATAAAAGAGGCAAAATATGGACAGTTAACATTTTTCTACAATGTTCAATTTCATTTTAAAAATAACATTAAAACAAGATTCTATTTTTGCATAGCAAATACAGATTTTAATGCTGACAAAGATATAGCAAAATAGCCTCTCATACATTATTAGAGAAAGTATAACTGGTACAGAGCCCTTTTAAGAGACAATTTGGCAATCTCTATCAGTAGTTTTTTTTATCCTCACCCGAGGACATTTTTCGATATTTTGTTCAGACAGAGTGGGAGGGAGAGAGAGAGAGAGAAACATCAACGCGAAAGCAACACATCGAGTGGCTGTCACCCGCACGACCAACCAGGGCCGGGGACAAACTGCAACCAAGGTACATGCCCTTAGCGGGAACCGAACCCGGGTCTCTCCGGACCGCAGGCCGACGCTCTAACCGCTGAGCCAAACCGGCCAGGGCTCTATCAATAGTCTTATAATGTTTATATCCTTTGACCCACTTATACCACTCCAGAGAATTTAGTTTTAAGTCAGAATGGAAAAAAGAAAAAAGCTTTATACAAAAATATGTTAATCATAATCTTATTTATAATAAAAGAAAATTGGACAACTTTGGAAAAAACATCCAATACTGAGAGAATAGAAAATAAATTGTTACACATGTTATATACTAAATTATGACCCTCCAGTCCTGGTTAGGGTTTAGTGCACCAGCCCATACACCAAAGGGTTGCAGGTTCGAATTCTGATCAGGGCACATACCTGGGCTGCATGTTTGATCCCTGGTCCCAGTCATGGCGTATGTGGGAGGCAACCAATCGGTGCCTCCTTATTCACGTTTTTTTGTTTCTCTCCCTATCTCTCTCTCCCACTCCCTCTCTTCCTTCCACTCTCTCTCTAAAAATCAATGGAAAAAATATCCTTGAGTGAGGATTAACAAAAAAAAAAAAAAAAAAATTATGACATTCCAAAATTCACATGTTGAAGCCTTAACTCCCAATGGGACTATGTTTGGATATAAGGCCTTTAAGACGGTAAAGTTGCCCTGGCCCTTGTAGCTCAGTTAGTAGGATGTCATCTGTGCACCAAAAGTTTTCTGGTTCGATTCCTAGTCAGGGCATATGCCTGGGTTGCAGACTTGATCCCCAAGAAGAGGGCATACAGGAGGCAGCCAGACAGTGTTTCACTTTCACATGGATGTTTTTTTTCTCTCTCTCTCCCTTCTGCTCTCTCTGAAAATCAGTTTATTTTTTTATTTAATTAAGTAATTTATTTTTGTTACAAATGTTTCTCCTTTTCCCCCCACTGATATCCCCTCCTCCACCCTCCCCGTGAAAATCAATTTTAAAAATCCTAACAAAAGAAGAAGAAACTGTCACCCTGGCCCAATAGCTCAGCTGGTTAGAGAGTGCCTTGATACACCAAGGTTTCAGGTTTGATCCCTAGTCAAGGCACAAACAAGAAGCAACCAATGAATGGATAAATAAGTATAACAACAAATCAATGTTTCTTTCTCTTTTCCTCTCTCTCTAAAATCAATAAAAATTTTAAAAAGAAGAAATTGTCAGACTTATCATTTATTCATTTATTCAACAAATACTGACTATAAACCAACTAAACATCTAGTACTTAAGTCTTCCTAGAATTAAGTTGTCAAGTTCCTAGAAACTGGACACAGAAAGTCTTCCCAGAATTATCAAGTTCCTGGAAACTGAATGCTGATAATCTGCTAGTCTCAGGCAAATGAAAAAGACTCTTCATCTTGAAACTGTTCTGCTATGAAAGAATTAGGCAGAGAAAAGAAATACAAGAGACAAAATAAGCAATGCAAAAGGGCATAGCAAAAAGTGGCTCCTTTCCACCTAATATGCCCAGTTGCAATTCAACTAAATGGCAGCTTCAAGTAAAGAATATTTCTGGAGGCGGGACTGAGACTCTCTCAGCTTCTATGGCTTTAATCTGAGACAAAGAGTATCCTGAGATCCTACTACAGTAATAACTTCAGCAGAAACTATATCAATCTTTAGGGTACTGATCTGAGAGTTCATGGAATCAAGCAAAATGGGGGTAGCTCATTACTTGGACCCTTAGCAGAGGGGGAAAAAAGGCAAAACAGAAAATAAACAACAAAAAACACTACAAACCTTCCTCTGTGGAGAGCCAAAGACATTAGCTAGGGAAATGACATATCAAAGACACAAATAAAAGTAAGCTAAATTTGTGAGTTAAAATCCTAGAAGTTTTCAAAATATTCCCAATAATGGACCTACACTGCTACCTTACTTCTTATTCTCCTTGTCCCCTAGTCACATCTCTCTGTTCTTCCCATGACCTAGCTCTAAGCAGGAGTCTTTCAGATATAATTTTATGAGAGAACTATATAACAGACCTTTCCTGAAAGACTTCAGTATCTTCAAGAGTGATATTAAAAATATTTTGCAGCTCTGGCCGGTTTTGCTCAGCGGTTAGAGCGTTGGCCCGCGGACCAAAAAGTGCCTGGTTTGGTTTCTGCTAAGGGCACGTACCTCGGTTGCAGTTTGCCCCTGGCCCTGGTTGGGGTCATGTGGGTGGCAACCAGTCAATGTGTCTCTCTCACATCAATGTTTCTCTCTCTATCTTCCTCCCTCTTTCCCTCCCACACTATCTGAAGATAAATGCAAAAATGTCCTTGAGTGAGGATAATAAATAAATAAATAAATAATATTTTGCAAGCCATACAGAAATATAAATTAATATAGAAATATATACATTAAAAATTTTTAATTCCTGCCCTGGCCGGTTTGGCTCAGCGGTTAGAATGTCAGCCTGTGGTCCAGAGAGACCTGGGTTCGGTTCCTGCTAAGGGCACGTACCTCGGTTGCAGTTTGTCCCCGGCCCTGGTTGGGTCGTGCGGGTGGCAGCCACTCAATGTGTCCCTTTCATGTCAATGTTTCTCTCTCTCTTCCTCTCTCTCCCTCCCACTCTATCTGAACAAAAAAAAAAAATGGAAAACTGTCCTCAGGTGAGGATAAAAAAAAAAATTTTTCAAAAAATAATAATAAAGTTTTAATTCCTTTAACAAACTATATCAAAACTACTTATCAAGAGATAAAAATTGTAGTGTAAATCATTGTAATAGTTTCCAAATCACTTGTTTAGTTTTAGAAATTGTGATGTGATCTCCTGTTTATGCAGTTGTCACTAGCTACAGGAGCCCTTATTTGAGCCATGATTTAACTTAGGAACAAACAAACTCTCTTATCGATTTCCCCATTAAATTGATAGTCATTAGGTCCCTGGTGCTGAAAGCTTTGCTGCAGCCAGCAGGGTGGCTGGATGCTGCCAATGTATAACAACCCATGAATAGTACATTCCTAGATGCCAGCACTTCTCACATGGCCTAGATCCAGACAGCCTGCCTGCACCTTGCCTCTTTTGACAATGCCATCCCAACACTGAGCCACTGTGGAGCAGCAGTGAGAAACTACTTATGTCCCCCACCCCTGCTGCCACCACCCTCTGGTTAAAGGCTATTGATATCCACTCCTACACTGTTCCTAGGCTCTGTTCCTGCATCTGCAGCTACCCAACAAGTGACACCATTAGCCTTGTGGTCTCAACTTACACTATTTACCAAGCAGAATGAAAATTTTAACACTGTTACAATCTTAAAATTATATACTGGCTGAATGACTCCAAATTTCTTTCATGCATGTTTCAACACAAGATATTTCCACTTTAATCTGAAATTTTCTTGTGGGATCCAGTGAAATCTCTACTTTATTCTGGTGCCTACCCATAGATTTGGGAGTCTCTGATTTAGAAAGAGTCCAAGTTTCCCATGTAAGAGTAATTTAAAGGAGAGTTTACTCCTCAAAGATTATTTCCCCTCAATCCCAAATTCTATGGCAGCAGTGGAGGTGACAGCAAGAATCAAGTAGTACAGCCTGGTCGGTGTGGCTCAGTGGTTGAGCATTGACCCCATGCACCAGGAGGTCACCAGTTCAATTCCCAGTCAGGGCACATGCCCAGGTTGTGGGTCCAATCCCATGGGGGGCATGTAGGAGGCGGCCAATCAATGTTCTCTCTCATCAATGTTTCTTTCTCTCCCTCTCCCTTCCTCTCTCTGTAAAATCAATAAAGAAAAAAAAAAATTTTAAAACAGTGCAGCCAAGAGTAGAAACTGGTTGGTTTTTCCCACCTCTTTTCTTCCTCTCTTCTTTTCTTCCTTCCTTCCTTAATTTCTTTCTCCCCGCCTCCCCCTTGCTCTTCCTTCCTTTCTTTCTTTTTTTCCTGTATACATACCTTCTCTCATTATTGCCTTATCTATAGCATTTATACACAGATATGAAATTATTTTGTTTCTGACCCAGATTCTGGCTTTGAGTATTAAGTCTTTCTACACTCAATATTTCTACATATTTCACCAGGAGGATTATAAACTTATCTGAAATGGTTGAAATTCATTTTGCTTTCAACTTCTCATTCTGCCGTATGCTGCTGAAAAGCAGTACATGATGAAAAGTAGAGCAACAACCTGGCCTGATGCCCAGCTGGGAGCAGATAAGTTCGCCTAAAAAGGACTTGATGCTCCAAATGCCAAAAACTGGAAAGAGGACTGAAAGGGGGGAGGAAGATCTGGAAATACGCCCATAGGTAGTAATGAAGAAAGTGAATTCAGCCTGAGGGAGGGACCTTCTGCTCAGCCTCTGTCAGCTTGATGCCTCATTATCTTCTCCATCTTCCCTAACCTCAGGATATTAAATTAGGGAGCAGAAGGAAAAAGTAACTGAAAAAGCAAGGCAATACAGAAAAAGTTAGGCACTAGCGGGAAGTGGGTGTTAAAGTATTTAGTGTAGACCAGGTTTACTGGCTGGAGATGTGAAGGTTTGGGTGGACAGATACATACCTGCAATTCTATGTATTGAACATACAATCTTATCATGTCATCCCCATCTTCAACTGTTCCCCATCATCCATTTAATCTCAGGCAATGTTTTTACTACTCTACTATCCTTCTTCCATGCACCCTACACTCTAACTATCCTGAATTACTTTCTGCTCTCCAAATATGCCACACTTCCAAACCCTTGAACATGTTGGTCTCTTGCTCGGTCTGTCCCTCTCCCACTCCCTCACATAGGAAACTCCTACTATTTCTTTATGACTCAGGTCAAATGCAACCACCTTTAGGTATCTTTTCTGATGCCCCAGTCAGCATTAGTCACCCTCTGTCCCTTATCACAGTAGTGGTTAAGAGTACAGCCTCTGGGGTCAGAGAGACTTGAGTTTCAATCTTGGGGATACGACTTCACTAGGTGTACAACTGTGGTAACCAGCCTGTAAGATGGTCCCCACTTCCTGACATTCAAATCCTTATTTAGTCCCTTCCCACATTGTATCAGGGCTGGTCTGTGTGCCAAACAGAAATGGCATGTCATTTGAGATTAGGTTATAAAAGACACTGTGGCTTCCATCCTAGGCTCTCTCTTTCTTGGATTACTTGCTTTGGAGGAAGCCAGCTGCCATGTCAAGCAACCCTATAGAGAGGCCCAAGTGGCAAGAAACAAGTTTGCCAACAACCATTAAGTGACCTTGGAAGCAGATCCTCAAACCCTAATAGAGCTTCAGATGCATGCAGCCCCAGCTAACACTTTGATTGCAGCCTCATGAGAAACCCTATACTAAAAACTATCCAGCTAAGCTGCGCGTATATTCCTAAACCACAGAAACCAAGATAATACATGTTTGCTTTAAACCACCAGGTTTTGAAGTAGTTTGTTACACAGCAACAGATAACTAAAATACCTGAGAAAGGATGGTAACAGACTAGAATTTATAGTAAGAAAATTTGGGTTCAAGTCTAGGCAATGATGCTTACTAACAGAATGAACCTGGGCAAAGCATTTCCAAAGTCTGAGTTTTCTTACTTGGAAAACAAAAAAACTGAGACTATAATAATATACTACAAAGTAAATAGCAGCATATCCTAAAACTAGAACATAAGATAATCAAGATAGAAATAAAGTATCTAGCAAAACAAATCTGATTCCTAAGGTACTGAGGTTCAGAAATCCCATCTAAAATAAACAGAAAACTCATCTTGTAAGTGTTATAAAAAGCATCTTTACACCCTGGCTAGTTTCTCGGTGATTAGAGTGTTGGCCCTCGGACCAATGAGTCTTGGGTTCGATTCTAACCAAGGGCATGTTTCTTGGTTGCGGTTCATCCCTGGCCCTGGTTGGGGTTGTGCGAGAGGCAACCAGTCAATGTGTCCCTCTCCTGTCAATGTTTCTCTCTCTCTCCCTCTCACTCTATCTGAAGATAAATAGAAAAATATCCTCGGGTAAGAATTTTAAAAAAAGAAAAAAAAAAGAAAGAAATGCAGCTTTTCATCATCTTTGAATTGAAATAAAGAATCAGGCTGCCCTGACCCGTTTGGCTCAGCGATTAGAGTGTTGGCCCATAGACCAAAAGGTCTGTGGGTTTGATTCTGGGTCAAGGTCATGTACCTGGGTTGCAGGTTCAATCCCCGACCTGGTTGTGTGGGAAGCAACCAACCAATGTGTCTCTTCGATTTGTCTCTCTCATATCAATGTTTCTCTCTCTCTCTCCCCCTCCCTTCTACTCTATCTAAAAAAAAATCAGTGGAAGAATGTCCTCCAGTAAAGAATAATAAAAAAATAAAATTTTAAAAAAGAATCAGGTCTACTCTATTCTGAGCAAAATCCTTTATATTCCCTAGATTGCAGGCCTGGCATTAGAATGAGGTCCACTGAGCCTCCTTTCTGTGCACCAAATTGCTCTCTTGCTCAAGAAAATGGAGGCACCAATTCTGTTGTCAGACTCAATTCAGATGCTTTTTAAGGAAAAGATAATATACATATTTGGGATCACACTAATGTGGCACAGCTATTCTTGGGAATTAAAAATAAGGTAGCCCTGGCCAAGTAACTCAGTTGGTTACAGCATTGTCCAGATACACAAAGGTTGCAGATTCAATTCCCAATCAGGGCACATACAAAAATTAACCAATGAATGCATAAATAAGTGGACAATAAATCAATGTTTCTCTCTCTCTCAAATCAATAAATAAAATTTTTAAAAAAAGAAAGTGTTTCTCTCCCTTCCTCTTTCTCTCTAAAATCAATAACAAAAATTAAAAATTAAAAAAGAAGGCAGAGACAGGAAAGGCGAAAGAAAACCTTAAGGCTAAACTTTATTAAAATATGATTTTCAATTGCCTCTAGTTGTACTGGTTGTCAAGAATTATGAAAGATCTCCTCAGGGGGCAGGAATCTCCAGCCAGGCCACTATACACATAATCTGCCCCACTATATACATAATCTGTCTAGTTAGCAGAGTTCTGGCTAGGCTGCTAGGACAATGTAAGCTGAGTGAACAAGAAACTCTATCCCTCTGGCCTTTCTCTACCTTCTAACTACTGCTGACCATTTTGATGCCAAAGCCCAGGGATGACTAAGAGGTCTACTGGTATTCCATACCTTTGGATTAAAACAGCCACCCATTATCACTGCTTCAATGCATCAACCTCATACAATGTACCTACAAGTGATAATGAAGATATGTGCAGAATCCAAATTGTGGTTGTACTTTTTCCCCCTTCTGGAAAGGCATATAATATAAAGCCAGGCCACAAAATGCTCCCTGACACTTCTCCACACCCAAATTTGTTTTCCCTGAAGTGAGGTGACTATAAATTTCTTATCATTCAACTCTATAAAATAGATTTACACATGTTAAATGAACCACAGTACTTACACATAAAGATCCATAGGAAACTCCTTCATCATGTGTGTTACAATAAACTCTACCATCAGGTCTGAATCGGGAAAGGAGAAAAATCAAATCAATCAGAATGAAATTCATCCCTTGCCTTTGAATTGGAAAAAAACATCTGAGTACATCTTGCACTCATGCTGAATGACATCCACTAAGCACATCTTATTCACAAGCGTTTAAATTTATTTTATATAAGGCACTTTTACAACACGTTTCACCCCCTGCCACTTGTAAAGTAACAAGAAAATCAGTTCACTCTCCAACTTCCAGATGGATGCCTTGACCTGTCAATAAATTCAGATACAGGGGAGATTTCACTGCACAGGTATTTCATATCATGGTACTAATGCAAAATGCTAGAGGGGAATCATATTCTGAGAACCGAGTGATAAAGAAAGCAGAGAAGAAATTATGGATTACATCCATGTAAACAGAGACTCAGCTCTATGTCGGTCTATTTCATCTCACTATCATGCTCAGTTTCACAGATATTGACTGAAATGGTCTATGGGGCTTTGGGTCAATAGAAGTTTATGATATAGTCTTAATCCATTTCTAAAATCAAGTAGATTTAGGAACTAGGGCTAAATATCCATATGAAATGGCATTAAGAGTTCAGATCATTCCCCTGAGGAAAATGCAGCACTCTGACAAAATTACCTAAGATAAAGCCCCCTACCTGTCAGCTCTGTCAGCCGCATCTCAGCTTAATTTACTCGAGGAAGTTTTGCATGCCTGAACTTGAACTTCAAGCCTCCTGGCCAGCTTACACATAATTTGAACCAAGAAAGAAAGCCCAACCAATGTGGTTCAGTGGTTGAGTGTCAACCCATGAACCAAGAGGTCGCCAGCTGGATTCCCAGTCAGGGCACATGCCTAAGTTGTGGGCCAAATCCCCAGTGGGAGGCATGCAGGAGGCGACCAATCGATGTTTTCTCTCATTGATGTTTCTATCTCTCTCCCCCTCTCCCTTCCTCTTCTTCTGAAATCAATACAGAAAATTTTTTTTTAAATAAACAAAGCAAGGGAGGGAAGCCCTGGCTGGTTTGGCTCAGCAATTAGAGCATCAGCCCACAGACCAAAAAGTCGAGGATTCAATTCCGGTCAAGGGTATGAACCTTGGTTTCAGTTAGGTCCCCAGCCCTGGTCCGGGTCATTTGAGAGGCAACCAGTTGATGTATCTCTCTCACATCCATGTTTCTCTCTCTCTGAAGATAAATACAAAAAAAAAAAAAGTCCTCGGGTGAGGAATCAAAAAAAAAAAAAAAAAAGAAAGGGAGAGAAGAATTTGAAATCTTGATCAAGAGTAAGATATTTTACAAATGTAAATCATGTACCAAGCTTAGACTTAGCCATTTGTCTCCTTCATTTTTTTTCTTTGAACAAGAGCACCCTTTAATTAAGCATTTTATTCATTGGAGTTGCTTTACCAAACTCAACAAAAAACATGGTTTCTTATGCCAGGGAAGAAACACTACTACTTAAAACTTCTCTGCAGAAGACGTATATCAACCAGGATCTATCCCTCATCTTAATCATAAAAACCTGTCACTGACAGAGAAAAATGCCAATTATGATGATACTCACCCAGGACTGCACATACTAAAGGACGGCAGGGAAGGTTCTTGTCTGCTGCCTTCTTCCGGTGTCGCATAGGCTTCAAACAAAAAAGAAATAAAACAGGCACCTGAACTGACATCCAGTGGCTCATCACTATGGTTTTCATGTAAATAACATCACTACTACAGAGATGCTACCTTTTCTAGAGGTGGGGGTGGTGTGGGGCAGGGAGGACTTGTAAATGCTTCTCAGTTATCAGTGCAAGCCTGTGACAAAAACACAGTTCACAGCAAGACAACTGCCCCAAAGGGTGCTGGAGCATACTATACAATGGGAAAGCTGTTGTATTTCACTTAGACTTTTATCGATGAAAGTGACGTTACTAACAACAAAAGAGGTACACTAGTATTTTTCTTTGATAAAATAATAAAGGAGAAAAAAGAGGACAAAGTGACTGTGTAAACACAGCAACAGTGGCAGGTACAAAAAACAAAAGTCTCAGATATAAACCTCTGTGATATTTTCTAACATACCTCCAAGTTTTAGGAAATTTCCTTATCCTTTATATTCTATTTCCCCCACTACTCAGATGAATAAACAAAGCAGTACTTAGTCTTAACTAATCAAAGACCATACTACATTTTGAAAACAAAAGGCTTAGGCCCACCTCCCTGTTAAAATCTATGTTACAGATACATTCTAATATTACTATCATGGGTATATATTTGTGGATCTTTCCATCCTCTCTTAAGTAAGCTCCATGATACATAAAAAGTTCCCAACAACAGGCATGGGTCTGTGAACAGCAGTTAAGTAAGAGCCCGTTAGCACAACATTCCACCCACATTTGTTCTAAGTAGGATCAATTTCATCCACCCCGATCCTGCCAATACACAAAAATTTTCCTCTAAGAAAAAAAAAAGATACAAAAGTTATACCTACCATTTTATGTAAGTTTACTCGAAAATTCATGTTGTCGTCATGCAAAAATGCATTGGCATACTGATCCTAATAAAAATAAAAATATAGAGAAAACTAAGAAATGAGAGCAACTTAAGAACTACTTTCAAGGACCAGTTGGAGAGGTAAAAGGATGAGCCTAGAGCCTTTATGTCAAGCCCTACTTAAGCAATGAGATTTTACTTTGGAGTAGTTCTCAGTGGTCCAAAATCTCCAAGCAAATTATCAACAATAAAAATTAAGGCACAGGGACTTGAAGCAAATGCTGAGAGGAATCTGTTTTCCTGTTCTCTCTTCCTTACCATCTGCTCAAGGAACCTGCCCTGTTTGTGACAGCTTGAAGGTTTTCATAGGGGCTGCAGGATGCATGAGCAGGCTCCTCATGAGGATCTATAGTTGAGAAGAAAGGTCTGCAGTCCACCAGGAATGGGCTTGGCAGAGCAAGAGAAAACTACTGCACAGGCAGCATGGAAGTAGGCAAGACCCCATCTATCTCTGGCTTCACTAAAGACCAATGGAAATAAAAATCTTCTCACCATGGACAGGTAAGAAACATCCCTTGGCCCTTTCCCAACAACTTAGCTGAAGATCTGACATGACAACAGACTCCAATTACTAAGAACTGTTACAATTTGTGAGAAAAAAAAACTCCTTTAAATATTTCCTTAGAAAGATTTTTGAAAAGCAATTACACCAGGCCCACTGCTAATCAGCAGCTCTATAACCAACTACCCCTAACCTGGGGAAAAAGTAGGTCATCTTTTCACAGTGAACATAAAAGGGAAAAGACTGATAGAGATCTCTCTCAACTTCACATAGACCACCTTTAATGTTTTAATGAAGGGGGTGGTTAAAGCTACAAATTTAGATCTAAACTGACTCAAGTTTTGCCATACCTGTGTTGCCACCAAGATGCAGAATGAGTTCAGGCCTAATTAACCTACTCTTTACAAAGTGAAAGCACCTGTTAACTCCTCAGGCTCTTGTTCACCAAACTGCACTCAGCCCAACTTCACTCACTTTCCAATTACCGTATTTGGCTTTTCTCTCCACTTCCCCCCACAGAAAACCTGAATTCCTTTTTTCATTTTGTGAAGTGGAAAAGACTCAACATGAACAACTTCAAAGGGGTAGGATTAGTCCAGTTGATGTGGCTTGGAGGATTGAATGTAATCCCATGGACTGAGAGGTCCCAGTTCGATTCCTGGTCAGGGAACATGCCCAGGTTGCAGGCCTGATCCCTAGTAGGGGATGTAGAGGAGATGCTTCCCTCTCACATCGATGTTTCTCTTTTTCTCCCTTCTTCTCTCTCTCTAAAATATCAATTAAACGGGGGCGGGGGGCAGGATTATTTTTTCTAAGGAGAGTTAGATCTCAAACTATTAAGAGCTAGAATCTTCCAGTTCTCAACTATAGCAGTTATCATATCATAATTCATTAATTCATGCAGTAATATTAATTAAGCCTCTACTATGTGCCAGACACTGAGAATAGACTGGTGAGGGAGACAAAATATCTGCTATCAGAGCTTACATTCTAACAAAAGGAAACAGACAATACAAAGGGGACATATTTTCTCTCCCAAGCTTTAGGACTCTAAAAGTCAGGAATTGGGCAAGAAACGCAGAAAAAGACATACTTTGTAAGGAGTGAGCTAATACCAGAAGACTGGTGAGACCTACCTCTGCAATACATGTGAGGATAATCATACAGAGTTTGCCACTATGAAGCCGGTGCTCATCTGTAAAATAAAAATAAAAGCCTTCTCTCTAAATAATACAGACCATGTTTCTGTTAGAAGAGAATAAAGATGTGTATCATCAAAAAGAACATTCACACTTTGTTTCCCCACAAAAGTTCATAAAGGAGCCCTGGCTGGTTTGGCTCAGTGGTTACAGTATCAGCCTGAGGACCAAAGAGTCCCTGGATCAATTCTGGTCAAGGGCATGTATCTCAGTTTCGGTTCAATCCCTGGCCCTGATCAGGGTCATGTGGTAGGCAGCCAATTGATGTGACACAATGCTTCTCTCTCTCTCTCTCTCTCTCTCTCTCTCTCTCTCTCTCCCCCCTTCCCTCCCACTCTATCTGAAAATCAATGAAAAAATATCCTCAGGTGAGGATTAACAAAACAAAACAAAAAAATTCATAAATGAAAATCAAGATTCTACTAGAATAATTCTTGCTTTTCTTCTAGGCAAAAGAATTCCCCCAGAAATTTTTTTTTCTTAAATATTATGGTAGTCTGATGGACAGCTAACTACCTACCTGAGAACCATCTAATTACTGTAATGATTCTACTGTCATGACCCAAATCATACCCATGCCCTTTGCTTCCGTATCAGCCCTTTGCTTCTCAATAGTCAGATCCATTCCCTTTCTAAACCCTCCTCATCCACCTGCTATAAGCACCACCATCTATACCCACCTAACTATTCAAAGCAAATTGGCAATGGAATCAGAAAGAAATTAATTGGAGACCAGGGTCCAGCCCATGCTTCTCCTTGCATTGTGCACATCATTTATAAACAGGAAAGCTGTGAACTCTTGATCATTTTTCTTCTTTCCAAACAAAGTCATGTTGTTCACAGCCACCATAGCTCTCTAACACCTACGCCGCCTCCAGCTTGTGAGCTCCAGCTGAAGCAGAAGTGGGGTAAGTACAGAGGTCTCTATACCATGGCTCCTACAAAGCAGACTGCCCGCAAATCCACCAGTGGTAAAGGATTGAAGAAACAACTGGCTACCAAAGCAGCTTGCAAAAGTGCGCCCTCTACTGGAGGGGTGAAGAAACCTCATCGTTACAGGTCCGGTACCAAGGCACTTCGTGAAATTAGACATTATCAAAAGTCCACTGAACTTCTGATTTGCAAACTTCTCTTCCAGTCTGGTGAAAGAAATCGCTCAAGACTTCAGAACAGATCTGCGCTTCCAGAGTGCAGCTATTGGTGCTTTGCAGGAGGCAAGTGAGGCCTATCTGGTTGGCCTTTTTGAAGACACCAACCTGTGTGCTATCCATGCCAAACGTGTAACAATTATGTCAAAAGACATCCAGCTAGCATGCCGCATAAGTGGAAAACATGCTTAAAAATCCACTATGATGGGAAACATTTCATTCTTTAAAAAAAAAAATCTCTTCTTCCTGTTTTTGGTAGTTCTGAACGTTAGATATTTTTTTCCATGGGGTCAAAAGGTACCTAAGTATATGATTGCAAGTTGAAAATAGGGGGCAGAAATCAGGTATTGGCAGTTTTTCCATTTTCATTTGTGTATGAATTTTTTAAATATAAATGCGGGGACATAAAGCATTAATGCAAGTCAAAATGTTTCAGTGAACAAGTTTCAGCAGTTCAACTTTATAACAATATAAATAAACCGGTTAAATTTGTCTGGACAATGCCAGCATTTGGATTTTTTTAAAACAAGTAAATTTCTTATTGATGGCAACTAAATGGTGTTTGTAGAGTTTTTATCATACAGTAGATTCTATCCATTCACTATACTTTCCCAATTGAGTTGTCCTACATGCAAGTACATGTTCTTTGTTTATTGTTTTTTTTTTTTATTCTTCACTTGAGGATATTTTTCTACTTATTATCAGATAGAGCGGGAGGGAGGGAGAGAGACAGAAACATCGATGCAAAAGGGACACATCGAGTGGCTGCCTCCCACATGACCCGACCAGGGCCGGGGACGAATCGCAACCGAGGTATGTGCCCTTGACCAAAATCAAACCCTAGACTCGTTGGTCCACGGGCCAATGCTCTAACCACTGACCCAAACTGGCCAGGGCGCAAGTACATGTTTTTTTGGGGGGGTTTTTTTGCATTTATTTTCAGATAGAGCAGGAGGGAGATGGGGAGAGAGAGAGAGAGAAACATCAACATGAGAGAGACACATCGAGTGGCTGCCACCCACACGACCCCAACCAGGTCCAGGGACAAACTGCAACCAAGGTATGTGCCCTTAGCAGGAACCGAATGCGGGCCTCTCTTGTCCACGGGATGATGCTCTAACCACTCACCCAGACCGGCCAGGGCAACAAGTACATGTTTTTAACATTGTCTGTCTTCTGTGCTGTTCCTGTAAGTTTGCTATTAAAATACATTAAACTAGCCCTGGCCAGTTTGGCTCAGCGGCTAGAGCATCAGCCTACAGTCCAGAGCAACACGGGTTCGGTTCCTGCTAAGTGCGCATATCTCGGTTGCAGTTTGTCCCCAGCCCTGGATGGGTCATGCAGGTGGCAACCACTCAATGTGTCCCTTTCACGTCGATGTTTCTCTCTCTCTCTCTCTCTCCCCCTCCTACTCTATCGGAAGAAAAAATGGAAAAATGTCCTCGGGTGAGGATAAAAAATAAAATAAAAAATAAAATAAAATACATTAAACTATAAAAATAAAAAAAAATTTAAAGTTATTCACTCTATAATACTTACTTAGTACCTACTATAAAGCAGACATTACACTGGGCACTGAACAAAACAAAGGATCCTGGTCTCCCAGAAATCACATTCTAATTATAAAAAAAGAAGAAAAGAACCTTGATAGTAGGACTCAAAGCCCACACTCGTGACTGAGAAAGCTACTCCATCCCCTCCAATTACCAGAACCATTAAAACTTATTTGGAAAACTTATGGAAAAATGTCCTCAGGTGAGGATAAAAAAAATTAATGCTCCATTATACCTAACCTTGCCCCTTGCCTTATTTAGGCTGAACATTGACAAAGACCTAATCTAGCTTGTTTATGAGAGACAGACTGAGGCAACCCATACTGCAATTAATCTGCCCTCAATTTTGCCTTCCATTTTATGAATAGCAAAGTGACCAGGACAAAGAGGTTTATAAAGCTAAAAATGAGTTCCCAGGGCCTCCATTCACTGTGTTATATCAAGCAAAGCTAAAAGATCATTTTCAGGGTCACATCTACAGTTTCTCTTTGTTGCGATATGTCGAGAGAAAGGAAAAGGTTACCCCTTTCCAAAAAGGAGAAGCAATGGCCTCAGGAAACACTGATACACAGGACTCTTATTATCCTTGCCTGCCTAATCTCACTTACCAAATCTCAGAGGTTCACCATTGCTGGAGCTCCCAATGGACTGCTCTATGTTAGGAGTTTGTGACACAGACTACTAGCATCTATCTCATCCCTGTATATAACTGTCTCTCTTGAAAGAGCACACTCACAAGGCATAAAAGAAAAAAGTCTAAGTTTGTAAGGCAGTAATCTCCAAGAGCTAATGCAGTATGTCTGAGTGTAACAGGATTTAGATTCTGCCCACCCAGCCTCCTTTTAACTCTGGCAATTTATTTCCTGTATTTATCTTTAGGTTCTCTAGTTCTGTCTACCATTTCCTTCCAACTCCAAAAACCCCCATACTCTGGTCTTACCCTCTTATGTAGCTCTATTCTGGAATTCCTGAAAATCCTTATACATACCAGAAACCTGCCCAGCCCATTTGGCAAATACTTTATGCCTAAGGGAATCTTAAACTACATACAAAGCATTAGTCTCTCCTCACAGAGAGTAAAGTGACAAAGGCAATAGTATTTTAGCAATTTTGTTTTCAAATGGAACTGATTTTTTTTAAGATCTGGGAATCTGAAGCTTATCCATGGACCATAATTTAAGAACCCAAACTTTAACCACTGAGAAGAACAGTTGGTTTCTAAAATAGGATTTAAAGATTCTTACAAGAAAGGCTTATTAAAAAAAAAAAAAGAGTATACACCAAATTGTTAAGAATAATTAATTCTAAAGAGCTTAATTCCAAAGAAATTTCACTTTGTTAGTTAAACACTGCTAGAACAAATACTATTCCAATTACTTTTGTAGTTAGGGGAAAAAAATTCTTGTAAATGGGAGAAGCTCACTGAATCAACCAGTAGGTACTAAATAAAATGCTAACTGAATAGTCATTAAAATGCTAGGTGTGGTGCACTGGCCAGTATTGCTAAGTGGTTAGAGCATGGGTCTGCAGACCAAAGAGTCACAGGTTCAATACTGGTCAAGGGCACGTACCTTGGTTGCAGTTTGGTCCCCAGCCCTAGTCAGGGTCATGAGAGAGGCAATCAGTCAATGTGTCTTTCTCACATCAATGTTTCTCCCTCGCTCGCTCTCTCTCTCTCTCTCTCTCTCGCTCGTTCTCTCTTCCTCCCCTCCCTCCCTCGCTCCCTCCCACCCACTCTATCTGAAAATAAATGGAAAAATATCCTTGGGTGAAGATTTTTTTAAAAATGCTAGGTGTGATTAAGGAACTAGCAGTTATGAAAAATATTTTTGGGACAACTAGGAAAAACTAAATGTGGACTGACTATTACATGATATTAGAGAATTACTGTTGATTTTCTTAGCTATAATAATGCATATATTGGAAAATATCTTTAATTTTGAGATACATAACAAAGTGCTTAAGGTGTGAAGTAGAGTGATGTCTGCAACTTATTTTATTTTATTTTATTTTATTTTATTTTATTTATTTATTTATTTATTTATTTTTTTATCCTCACCCGAGGACATTTTTTGTTCAGATAGAGAGGGAGGGAGAGAGAGGAAGAGAGAGAGAGAGAAACATCGACGCGAAGGGACACATCGAGTGGCTGCCACCCGCACGACCAACCAGGGCCGGGGACAAACTGCAACCGAGGTACGTGCCCTTAGCGGGAACCGAACCCGGGTCTCTCGGGACCGCAGGCCGACGCTCTAACCGCTGAGCCAAACCGGCCAGGGCTCTGCAACTTATTTTAAAACGATTCAGCCAGCCCTGGTCAGTCCGGCACAGTGGTTAGAACACTGGCCCGTGGACCAAAGAGTCGTGAGTTCTATTCCCAGTCAAGGGCATATACCTAGGTTGCAGGTTGAATTCCTGACCCCAGTCAGGGTTGTGCAGGAGGCAATCAATCAATGCATCTCTCACATTCAATGTTGCTCTATCTCCCTCCCTCCCTTGCTCCTTCCCACTCTAGCTAAAAACCAATGGAAAAAATATCCTTAGGTGAGAATTAAAAATAAAACAAAAAACACAATTTAGCCAAAATAATAACACACAAAGAAATTTAGAGACAAACCAAATATGGCAAAAGGTTAATGGGTATATGAGTGATCACTGTATAATCCTTTTAACTTCTCTGTATATTGGAATTTTTTCACTTTAAAAAATTGGAGGAAAAATGCTACCTAAAAGGTTTATTTCCACAGAATCTTTTTTTCTATCCTCACCCGAGGACATTTTTTTTTCCAATTTTTGTACAGATAGAGTGGGAGAGAGAGAGAGGGAGAGAGAGAGAGAGAAACATCGACGTGAAAGGGACACATCGAGTGGCTGCCACCCGCACGACCAACAAGGGCCGGGGACAAACTGCAACCGAAGTACATGCCCTTAGCGGGAACCGAACCCGGGTCTCTCCGGACCGCAGGCCAACACTCTAACCACTGAGCCAAACCAGCCAGGGCTATTTCCACAGAATCTTAAAACTGGGATATGTTCTACTTATATGGGGTACCTAGAGTAGTCAAATTTCTAAGGACAGAAAGTAGAATGGCTGAGGGGGAGCGGGAATAGAGGGGATACATAGTGATAGGAAAAAATAAAATAAAATAAATGGTGGGAACTGAGTTTCTGATGTGTGAGAACCTCTCCCCACCCAAAAGAAAGTAGAATGGTAGTTGCCACGGGCTAAGAAAAGGGGAGAAAGGAGAGAGTGGGGAGTTAGTGTCTATTGGGTACAAAGTTTCAGTTTCAAAAGATGAAACGAGCTTGGGAAATGGTGGTGATGGCTGCACAACAATGTAAATGTTAATGCCACTGAACCGTACACTTAAAATAGTTAAAATGGTAAATTTTATATTATGTATGTTTACTACAATAAAAAAATAGAAATAAATAAAAATTGTAAACACAGATATATCTAGTATAAAGAAAAGACTGAGCCCTGGCCGGTTTGGCTCAGCAGTTAGAGCGTCGGCCTGCAGTCCAGAGAGACCCGGGTTCGGTTCCCGCTAAGGGCACGTACTTTGGTTGCAGTTTGTCCCCGGCCCTGGTTGGTCATGCGGGTGGCAGCCACTCGATGTGTCCCTTCACGTCGATGTTTCTCACTCTCTCTCCCTTCCTCTCTCTCCCTCCCACTCTATCTGTACAAAAAATGGAAAAATATCCTCGGGTGAGGATAAAAAAAAGAAAAAGAAAAGACTGAGTTAAAAAAAAAAAGACAAACAGATATATACTGAATAGAATTTTCTGGGTTTCCTTCCAATCCCTTCTCACTCCTAGCCCAAATATTCTACTACCCTATCACCAATTAAAAGACCATAGGAAAACCCTGGCCGGTTTGGCTCAGCGGTTGGAGCGTCGGCCTGCGAACCAGAGTCCCAGCTTTAGTTCCCACTAGGGGAATGTACCCAAAAAAAAGAACATAGAGCACTGGCCGGTTTGGCTCAGCAGTTAGAGCGTCAGCCTGCGGTCCAAAGAGAACCAGGTTCGGTTCCTGCTAAGTGCATGTACCTCGGTAGCAGTTTGTCCCCGGCCCTGGTTGGGTCGTGAGGGTGGCAACCACTCAATGTGTCCCTTTCATGTCGAGGTTTCTCTCTCTCTCTCCCCCTCCTACTCTATCTGAACAAAATATGGAAAAATGTCCTCGGGTGAGGATTTAAAAAAAAGACCACAGAAAAGTCATAAACAGGAAGAACAGGAGCCCAAACAGAATTAATGCAAACTTCCTCATCATCCATTTTTCTCCCACCTTCCACTCTGCATTTCTGGGATGGGTATTGACACTTCTTTATTTTTAAATCCTCACCCGAGGATATTTTTCCATTTTTTGTTCAGATAGAGTGGAAGGGAGAGAGAGGAAGAAAGAGGGAAAGAGAAACATCGATGTGAAAGAGACACATCAAGTGGCTGCAACCGAGGTACGTGCCGTGCCACTAGTGGGAACCAAACCCAGGTATCTCCGGACCGCAGGTCAATGCTCTAACCGCTGAGCCAAACCGGCCAGGGCAGTACTGACACTTCTATTTTAAGTGTCAAGGAACACAGTCCCTCTGAATCTCACCTCTTCCTACTGTACTCTGTGCAACAGTCCTTTAATTCTCACCACAAGCTGGTGCTTTCAGTTCTTGTCCTCAAAAGGGAATTCCCTGACGCATGCTAATCCCTTCACTTCCCACACAAGAGAGTTTGCATCTACTTACCAAAATCTGCTAAGAAGACTTGCTAGTTTTTGTAGAGGCCATTTTTTTCCTGTTCTATTTTGGAGCACTCCAGCTCCAGGTTTTCCCAACACCACCTAACTGCAATCTGGCAGTGAGAAATCAGTTTTCCAATAATCAGGACCATCACCCTGCACAGGAGGCCCCAGTAGTTCATCTTGTGGAAGCTTCAAAATATTAATGCTGCTCCTTGATTCTAGCTAAGCAGCTGCCTGCCACACATTCTGCTTCCTGAGCCCCCAAAGTAGCATGCCTTACCTTTGGTGTCCTGCATGACAATCGAGCTATACTTTAAGAAGGTTATTAGCAGGTTACTGGTCTGTACATCTGCATCCAGTGGGAGTTCCACAGCACTTATAACTGCAATAGAACAATAAAATGCAGTTAGCCTATACTACTTAACACTTCTATCTCCAAAGCCAATTTGCCAGCAGATAAGGAAATCACTAAATAAGGTTTTTCCTCAACAGAGGGAGGACCAAGAGCTTATCATAAAACCTTCATCTAGTCTTCTTAGGCCCCTGGAGCCTTCCTACTTCCAAGATTAAGTCCAATGCCTTCTCTCACATCTAGGAGAGCCAGTCTCCAGAAACACTGCTTTTCACCCAACATCCTAAAAAGGGTATTTTTTCTTTTCTTTTCTGTTCTTTTTGTTAATTCTCACCCGAGCATATTTTTCCATTGATTTTTAGATAGAATAGAAAGGAGGAAAAGAGCAAGAGAGAGAGAGAAAGAAACATCAATGTGAGAGAAACACATACATTGGTTGCCTCCCGCACAACCCCAACCAGGGCTGGGGATCAAACCTGCCCTTGACCAGAATCGATCCTACGACCCTTCAGGCTGCAGGCCTATGCTCTAACAACTGAGCCAAACTGGCCAGGGCAGGGTGGTGGTGTTTTTTTTTCAGTTACAGTTTATATTCAATATTATTTTGTATTCATTTCAGGTACACAGCACGGTGGTTAGACAATCGTTTACTTTACAAAGTATTCCCCCTGATATTGCCAGTACTAAAAGGGTATTTTGATTCCACTTCTAGCTCCAAATAACCCAAAAAGGTTCAGGGTCCTTCCTAAAGGCACTTTAATGTGTACCTAAGGAAAATTTCTGTACTCCATATAAATGAGTTTTGCTTTGATGAGTCTCCTGCTTAAAATAAATGACAATTCATCCCTAATAAGGAAAAATCTTGCTCAATTTTGAGAATAAGCCTTTAGGCTGGAAATACCCAAAATAGAAGGGAAAAAAGTTAAGGCAGAACTACATTCAAATTGTACTCCTTAGTCCCTTACTTTTAGTGAAAGGGAGCCTAAAAGAAAATACCAGACTGGCCTGGCTGGTGTGGCTCAGTGGTTGAGTGTCCACCCATGCACCAAGAGGTCGCCAGTTTGATTCCTGGTCAGGGCACATGCCCAGGTTGTGGGCCCAATCCCCAGTGGGGGGCATGTAGGAGGCGGCCAATTGATGTTCTCTCTCATCGATGTTTCTGTCTCTCTCCCTCTCCCTTCCTCTCTCTCAAAATCAATAAAGAAAAAAAAATTTATAAAAAAAGAAAAGAAAGAAATAGCCCTGGCCAGTCTGGCTCAGCAGTTGGAGCATCGGCCTCCGGACCAGAGAGTCCCGGGTTCGGTTCCCACTCGGGGCACGTACCAAAAAAATAAATAAATAAATAAAAGAAATACCAGACTGAAAATAGGAGGACATTATTGTCTGGGACAGCCTGGGAACTGACTTTTATATACCCTGCTACTTGCTGTTTCCAACAGAAACTACCCTGCCACGGCTCCCATTCTCTAAGGCACCGTCCCAATGAACAGTGAGGGACCAGAACAGGGCTGACACACACAGAACAATCTTACATAGATTCCCCAAGTTTCTAGTACTTTAAATTAGACTTAGACATTTTTTTAAGTGTTTTACACTGTCTAAGACATAATATATAAGCAAAAGGAGGCTCATAATGGCCCAGACAAGCTAGAGAATCTATAGTTTTCTGCTGTATTTCCACCCATGAAGACTCAGCTGAGTTTGGGATATTATTCATAATATGTATTCATACCATAATGGGTCCCTCTGGAGTTATTATGATATATGCAGAGAACAGTTATTAACAATGGGAAACGTTTGAATATTATGGATCTATAATAAACAGCAAGCACAGCAAAAAGCTTCATGAGAAGAAATCAGCATGCCCAACCCCTGGCTGTTTTCCCACAGTCCAGCTCCCAAGAACTAATAAAAGACAAATATATTTTCATGTTGAAATACTAAAAGTTCTTAATTCATGCTATGGGCAAATGACCTGAGACTGTCATTTCAAACTACTACAGCCTATTTTGAAGCTTAGAGCCCATAATTATTCTTTTGTCCAATGCAGAAAGGCATCTAACTGGTAGGTGGAACTTTTTTCCCTACTCTCACACAACAATAACTGAAAAACAGTCTTATCTGATATGTAGAGATATAAAAGTATATGTATTTTGACTATACCAGAAAGTCCTCTTATTCCAAGGCTGAGTTGTCCAATGTCAAGTCTGAGCTGAGAAAAAAATGTTACAGCTAAACTGTTGGCTTTCAGTGATATACCTTTAAATATAACTGGGCTACTAAGCACCACTATAATTAAAAACCAAAACCTGAAAATAAGGTTATAATATTCAGGACCCCTACAGAAAGGAAACGAGTTAGGAGAGGGGGGAAAAGAACATAATAAAAGAGAGAGAATAAAATCCCTCACAAATGAAAATCTCCTTCCTAAGGAAGTTATTCTTTGATCTTTGGCTTCATAATTCTTCCTGGCAGCCTTTGTGAAGGGAGACAATCATTTGAAAGTGGGCTGACTCCATCTTCCCACAAGAAAAAACAAAAGCTCACTAGTTGTAGGTATGTAAGCACAAATCTTGCCATTGCATAATCAAGTGTGTGGGTGGAAGTGTTCACAATGAACAGTTTGAAAGGCAGTTCTCTGAAGCATCCAAAACCCTATATCACATGGAACTCAGATGTGTGTGTGTGTGTGTGTGTGTGTGTCCATGGTAACCAGGCAGGCTTTATCCTTAAAGAGAAAGAAGAGTGTTTCCATTGGATTACTCAGTGACCTCAATAAGCACAGACAAGTAGACAATCCTCACTACTTGTTCTTTCTCATTAAAATAATCTGGAATTTGTCTTTCAATTTTATTTATTTATTTATTTATTTTTAATCCTCAGTCGAGGACATTTTTGCATTTATCTTCAGATAGAGTAGGAAGGAGAGAGGGAGGAAGAGAGAGAGAGAAACATCGACTGGCTGCCACCCACACAATTCGAACCGGGGCCGGGGCCGGGGACAAACTGCAACCGAGGCACGTGCCCTCAGCGGGAACCGAACCCAGGTCTCTCTGGTCCGCAGGCCGATGCTCTAACTGCTGAGCCAAACCGGCCAGGTCTGTCTTTCAATTTTAAACAGGTCCAATTTGCTACCACAGACCTGAATATCACCGGCACCTCCTTGTCATGCTTCTGTACCAATACCACTTGTACTACCTTGAAATGCTATTGCCACAAGTCCAAAATGAAAAAAAAAAAAGATCAAAGAAGGTCATTTCACATACAGATGGTAGGGAGGCACAATGAAAGTTAGATTTCCTGTATTTCTTTACCCAAAATGAGGTCAACATTTGAGGTAAAACATCAAGTATTAACAAAGATTATTTTTTGGTTAAGGTACTCTATCAAACATACTCAGCTTATAGTAGAACCAGCTCAGGTGACACAAATCTTATTAGACAAAATTCAGTTTCTTTTCTGTTACCTTGTTCTTAAGTTACAGCCATAAGACTTATAAAGTGGACATTTTTGTTGTTATTATTTTTTCAGGGGAGAAGTCTTAAATACCCACCAAACTCCCAATGATAATACACTTAAAGCTTGTCATTTTCTAAGTGGGAGTGGCTAACAGACACATAACAGTGAGTAAATCCCAGGTTCACTCTCTCATTTATTCAACATATATTTACTAAGCAATGACCAAGCCAGGTACTATGCTGGGCAGATAGTAGTGATAGAAATAGACATGGTTCCCTGCTCTGATTCATGTCTTGGTTCTTAGTTGCAACTCTCATTAACCTTAGACAAACCACTTATTTCTCTGGCCTCAATTCCCTCATTTGTCAAATGGTAACATGAGATAACATTACTCTTTTACATTTATGTTAGTGAGATATTAATAAACTATCTCATCTGAGCCTCACAAGTACCCTGAGAGTTTGGCAGGACAGGCATCACTGACCTCTGAGGTCCTTTTAAGATCTAGCACTTTATGATTCAACCTTTTCCTGAGGAGGATATGTTGTAATTATGTAGCTTCTTATACAGAGAAAAGTACTTAACTATCTTTTCCAAAGTCTTCTATGGAGCTTCAGGAGTCCTGAAGGACAGTATTTTTCAGACAATTTCTTAATTGAAAGAATAGACAACTGTGTTCTTTGTTCAACACAACTATGCTCACCCTGAAAGATTCATAACCATATTAATCAATAAAACAAAAGAGGCTGTAGGCTTACCATCAGAGGAGGGCGGTGTGGTACCAAGTGGTGTGACTGGGGTTGTTGGAACAGGACTGACAGGGGTTGTCACCAAGCCTATCTCTGGATGACTCTGAAAAAGAACACAGATGGGTAAGGAAAGAGAAAATCCAGTTCCAAGTATCCTGATTAATATCCTTTCTGGTATCCCTGGCCTCAGAGGCAGAAAGCTCACTGAGGAAGGACCGCTTCTACATTTAGTTCCCATGACTACCAATTACTGTTGATGCTTGCTAAACACTAATAAGAAGCTCTGTGGGCTAGTTCTTTCCAAGCAACTAAGTTCTCATATAATTTTTTTCTGCAGAACCATACAAATAAAAAATTGCACTGAACAAATACAGAGGATTATTCTACAAAAAAGGGGGAGGCATTTGCAGTCCTATCTGAACCTGGGAAAGGAATACTCTAATCAGATAAACCTCATCTACAGACTATTCTGATGACCACACAGTTGATAACAAATGCAGGTGAGTCAATGGGATAACAGGTACTATGAAAAGAGCTATGCAGATGACAGCCTTCCTGTTCCACAACAAACAAGAGTGTGTGGGATGGGGAGGTAAAGACATGGGGTACACATCCACTGGGGACCAAAACAGATGGCTCCTCTGTCCCTGACTTTCTTTAGCCATCCCTGCCACATCAGCTCTTGAGAATTAAGCTGAGTGGAAGTTACTCCCTCCTCCTCCCTAAAAGCTTTACCTCCCTTTTATCTTCCTTTAAAATCAGTTACAGAATTCAGAAAGTGGACAAGGAACATATTGAGAATAGTAAATTAAGTCTCTTAGGTTATCGGTCTGAAAAATTATGTGTCCTCCTAGGCAGACCCTAAATCAGCACACTGCTTTTTTTTTAATGTTTTTTTTTTTAACCCCCACCCAAGGATATTTTTCCATTTATCTCAAATAGAGTGGGAGGGAGGGAGGAAGAGAGAGAGAAAAACATCAGTGTGAAAGAGACACGTCGACTGGCTGCCTCCTACATGACCCTGGCCAGGGCCAGGAACAAACAGCAATCGAGGTATGTGCCCTTGACTGGAATGGAACCCATGACTCATTGGTCCATGGGCCAACACTCTAACCGCTGAGCCAAACCGGCCAGGGCACCAGCACACTGCTTTTTAAGCATGACTTTGTTAAACTCAATCTGTGGATCCCATACACATCTGCCCTTTGAGAAAAAAAATAAAATAAATAAGCAAACCTTCCTTTAAAAGAAACCTAATACATATTTTAAGCAGTCTGGCTTTAAAATGAAAACACTTTATCAATTTTTTAAGACAGCTTTCATGTACAGCACTTGGGTTCTCAGCCTATTTCAGTCCCCTCTGTTCCAACTACTGAGGCTATCTCTTAGGCAAATGACCCAGCACTCAGTATTGACTTCCTGCTTATATTTGTAGACCATTTTTTCTGTTAATAGTTAACCATATGCTAAACAGGATATTTTTTTTTACTTTTCTTCTCTAGAAATTGGTAAAACAGTAAGTGACTTGACCTATTTTATCTCCAGTTGTAATTCCAGTGGTTTAGAAAGCAGAGAGACTGATATAAAAATTCATATGGGCAGCCCTGGCTGGTGTGGCTCAGTTGGTTGGGCATCATCCTGTGCACCAGGAGGTTGCCAGTTCAAGTCTCCATCAAGGGCACATGCCGATGTTAAGCTCTCACATCGATATTTCTCTCTCTTTCTCCTTTTTCCTCTCTCTCAAAAGTAACCATTCTTTTTAAAAAATTCATATGGGTAGATAATACCAAGGGATTTCCAGGGAGCCAAATGAAGTAATCTCAACTCATCTGGGTTAATAGAATCAGTAAACTGGTCAAAACTATTAACTTTACATGTTATCAGACCCACTTTGCACCAGATGGAAACATACATATTTGAGAACAGCATGAAGCAAAGGCAACTGATGCAACTCTTCGTTACCACCACTTACCAATGCAAAGCAGGGCTTAAACGGGCAAAGCCAGAAGGCTTGTCAAGGGAGTGAATCTGTATGAAATTCAGGAAGAAAAAGGATTGGAGTGTTTAATATAACCAACCTGAGCTAACACTGTGATGAAGTTGCGATTTAAATGAACAGCTTCATAAAGTGCCAGAAGGATAGCCTCATTGGTTCTAAAGAAAAAGAGAACAAATTGAAGAGGTTCATATAGTGGAGGAGTTAGAACAATATAACCATCAAGATAAGATTTCACACCAGCTCATTATCAATCCTTTTAAGTTTCTAATGCTTCCTTTACAGTCAAACCTCTGTTCTCCAAAACGAGACCCATCTCGAACAATGCAGTTCTCGACTAAGTTGTTCATGGAAAGATCATGTTGTTCATGGAAAAAATGTCTCAATTGTTGAACAAACTTCAGGTCTTGACCTAACAACCCTTTCATGCTGATACATCAGCATGACAAAAAGCATCTCTCAGGCCACAAACATAGGAGAGAAGCACCAGTATGAGTCAGTTTACTGCTAAACATCTCAGGAAATTGTGCTGTGAATATTTTTGTGTATTTTGCTTTTGTTACTGGTGAACTGGACAAATATGCCAATTTTAAAACATAAAGAGGCCATCAAGAGTGCTAATGCACCTGGCCTGTGTGGCTCAGTTGGTTGGGCATCTTCCCTGTGCACTGAAAGGTTTCCAGGGGTTGTAGGCTGGACCCCTAGTGGGAGGGCTGTGTAGGAGGCAGCCCATTGAAGTCTCTCTCTCCCCCTTCCTCTCTCTCTAAAAATCAATTAAAATAAAAATAAAAAAAGTGCTAATGTTGATAATGATGTGAAAGAAACAGTGATCACAGGCAACTGAAGAGGTAGAAAAACTGTTGTTGATTTGGGAGAAAGAAAAGCAGTTAGCCCAGCCAGCGTGGCTCACTGGTTGAGCATCGATCCATGCACCAAGAGGTTGCCGGTTCAATTCCCGGTCAGGGCACATGCTCAGGTTGTGAGCCCAAACCCCGGTAGGGGGCATGCAGGGGGCCAGTTGATATTCTCTCTCATTGGTGTTTCTATCTCTCTCTCCCTCTCCCTTCCTCTCTCTCTAAAATCAACAAAGAAAAAAATGTACAAAAAAAAAAAAAAAAAGAGCCCTGGCCACTTTTGCTCAGTGGTTAGAGCTTCGCCCTACGGACCAGAGTCCCGGGTTTGGTTCCTGCTGAGGCACGTGCCTTGGTTGCAGTTTGTCTCCAGCCCTGGGTGGGGTTATGTGGGTGGTGGCCACTCGATGTGTCTCTCTCACATCGATGTTTCTCTCTCTCCCCCCCCCCCAAATCCCCACTTCTACTGTCTCTAAAAATTAATGGAAAAAATATCCTCAGGTGAGGATTAACAATAAATAAATGAAGTGATATAGGCAAAGAGGAAAGACATTCCAAAGCTGGGGCTCAATACACAAAACCAAAGTAGAAGTTTCTAAGAGCCTATTCTCAAGAAACATTTGATATTATCACCAGAAAAGTTTGAATCTGTAAAAGATTAACAAGAGGTAACATTTCACACTCTCATATCCAGTTGGTGAGCCCACATTAAGTTCAAGTCACCACTGTACAAAAATATCAGGCACTTACTGTACTGAGATTTTCTCATGAGCATCTGCTATGAACATGTTGCCCACCTGTGGAAGAAAAGGGGAATTGCACACTTACAGCAGGAAAATACAAGAGGAACTCTGCCTAAGAAGCCATTAATCAGTAAAAAACAAGCTATTTGCTACCCAAGGGAATTTGGAACTCTGGCCCACCAGTCACACTCACACCACAATCAGCCCACTTTGAAGATCTTAAAAGAATCATAAGTAATAACTGAAATAATGAGAACTGCACTAAATCATGTCTTCTTAAAGGAGCTTAAAAACAATCCTAGTACTTTTGTCCAGCTCTCCTTTTCAATGGGTAAGTTTAGTAATCGCTGACAACAAGTTAATGTTAGCCTAGGCATCCTCATCATTCTGCATCTTTCCTGAAAGTTGCTTTGTTAAAGTAAAAAAACTTATTAAAAAAGAACATCACAGAAAGTAGGCTAGTTTCATCCAACATAGAGCTGTCTTCAGGGGAATACTTGAATTTCAGCTCAGAACTGTCTATATGCAATCCATTGTCCATCTTTCAGATCACAAAATCTTTAGTTTGTGTCTGAGGCAGGACAGCCAAATAAGTAAAAGTTTCCTCCAATATGTATAATATCAGAAGCACTGAGCCCTGGCCAGTTTGGCTCAGCGGTTAGAGCGTTGGCCTGGGGTCCAGAGAGACCCAAGTTCGGTTCCCGCTAAGGGCACATACCTCGGTTGCAGTTTGTCCTGGCCCTGGTTGGGTCATGCGGGTGGCAGCCACTCGATGTGTCCCTTTCATGTCAATGTTTCTCTCTCTCCCCCTCCCACTCTATCTGAACAAAAAATGGAAAAATGTCCTCGGGTGAGGATAATAAAAAGAAAAGAAGAAGCATTGGGAAAGATGCCCATCCCTCTAAAAATACCTTTCCACCTATTTACTGATGTCCAATCCAAAACTATGCAGCTGGAGCGTCATTTGTTTGTTACAAAATTTTTCTTCTTGGATAAAAGGCAAAGATCCCTGAGAGCAACATATTTATATCTAAGTCATTTAACCAAAAACCAATATAGCGTTCATACTGCTCTGACCTCTGAGAGACTTTAGTTACTGATGTTTCAGAGTTAAAGAGCTTATCAAGCCCATCCTGAGAGTAGGCTCTAAGAAAGGAGGAGGAGAAAAGGCATAGGCATTGGGGGCGAAAATTGCCTTTTGGGGAGTTGAGGGATGACTGTTTCTTGCAATGAACTCAAAATGATTTTGCCCTAGTGCTGATAACTTAACTACTAACACCCAAGAAGACTTTCTGAATCTGCCTAGGTTCTAAGATCTGCTATATTTACCTCTTAAAAATTAGTTGCAGATTATCTGGCCCAAAATGCCTATGATGCCAAGGTTGAGAAACCTTGCTCAGCAATCTGACAAAATGAACCAATAACTTTCCTAGACAAATAGACCTCTCAGCCCATTAAGCCTTTAGACGAGTAACTCAGATCCCCTGCATCAATCCCTCAAATCCAGGACCAGCTATGAGGAAACAAGTGGCCACAGCAGACAGCCAAGGAGTGTTAGATTGAGATCTAAACCCTCCTATTCTGCGTTCCATAGGGTTAGTCCTCTAAAAAAGTCAGCTTTTTTTTTTTTTTAATCCTCACCCGAGGACATTTTTCCATTTTTTGTTCAGATAGAGTGGGAGGGAGAGAGAGAGAGAGAAACATCGATGTGAAAGGGACACATCAAGTGGCTGCCACCTGCACGACCCAACCAGGGCCGGGGATAAACTGCAACCGCGGTACATGCGCTTAGCGGGAACCAAACCCGGGTCTCTCAGAACCACAGGTCCACGCTCTAACCGCTGAGCCAAACCGGCCAGGGCACAAAGCCAGCTCTTTAGAAAGCAGAAATCTAACTTAATATGTACCTTTATTGTAGCCTTTAAAAACGAAATGAATTAATTTGAAAAAAATCTGTCTCAGAGAAATCAGAGCTCTCCTTTCCCCTATCTCACTTAGGTTTGAAAATCACTAAAAGAGATATAGCTCTCAAAATAATCTGTTCTGGTCCGGCCAGTGTGGCTCAGTGGTTAAATGTCGACTCCATGCACCAGGAGGTCACCGGTTCAATACCTGGTCAGGATACATGCCCAGGTTGTGGGCCTGATCCCCAGTGGGGGACATGCAGGAGGTAGCCAATCGATGTTCTCTCTCATCGACGTTTCTATCTCTCTCTCTCTCCCTCTCACTTCCTCTCTCTCTAAAATCAATACAGGAAAAAAAAATTTTTTAAATAAAATAGTCTGTTCTGCCCGGCCGGTATGGCTCAGTGAACTGAGCATTGTCCGGTGGACTGAGAGGTTCTGGTTCGATTCCTAGTCAGAGCACATGCCCAGGGTTTCGGGCTTGATCCCTAGTACAGGGCATGCAGGAGACAGCCAATTGAAGTTTCTCCCCACCCCACCCCACCCCCGCCTCTCTCCAAAAAAAAAAAAAAAAAAAAAATCAATGAAAACATATTTTTAAAAAATAGCAAAAATCTGCTCCAAGCAACCCTCTCTGTCTCCCTTCATCATACCATCACCTCAAACATCTAAACTTCTGAGTCCAGATTTGTCTACCTCTACAGATCTCTTACATTTCTGAGCAGGAGAGAAAAAACAAGTAAGACTTACCATATTTGTTAAGGCAGAGAAAAAACTGCTCTGGTGTTCTTCTTCCTTGTCTTTATACTGCCTAAACAAAAATAATTAAATTAAACTTTAGTATTATTTTACTATTATTTATCAAGTATGTCTTTGTCCTTAGCATTCTAGGTAATGAGGGCAGAGGACTCATAGAATTCACTGACTCCAGAAAACAAAAACACTATGACAATCTAGTCACTGCAGTTTCCCCTGTAAACTAAGAGGCACGCATCTGCTCTTGAGGTAGTGTGTACCAAAGTGCCTGGCTACTTTGGTAGAGACTTAGAAAGCAAGCTGCAAAAGTGTGAAACTGCTCTAACATATGGCTGATCCAGTTATTTCCCAAACAGACTATTCCTTGAAAAGTCTGACAGTGAAATTACTTCAAGACTGTAACAGTGAAAATTTTGTTTGTTTCTGAAGGAAGAGGATGGATGAAATCTGTGAGCTAAACTATTTGTGGAGATGAGACAGATCTGAAATTCCAATATCCAGTTATGTGTGAGGAAAGTATGGAAAGAAGCAAGAAAGATCGTGCCTGGCCCTTGCTAGGACTGGGGACACTTCTGGTTTCCATTCATTGATTATCATATCCTTCCCCATCCACAACAAGAGGAAAAGCAAACACCAATGAAGACAGCCCCCAGTAGAGACAGGGACTCCAGGAAACCACAGTTGATCCCTGATGAAAAAGAAGCATCTGGCAAATCAGACCTAATTCAATGTTTTCTCCTTTTATTTATTTTTTTAAGCATACAAAAAAAGCAGTGCCTCACAACTTTTTTTTTTTTTATCCTCTCCTGAGGACATTTTTTCTATATTTTGTTCAGATAGAGTGTGGGAGGGAGAGAGAGAGAGAAACATCGACGTGAAAGGGACACGTCGAGTGGTTGCCACCCACACGACCCAACCAGGGCCGGGGACAAACTGCAACCGAGGTACATGCCCTTAGCGGGAACCGAACCCGGGTCTCTCAGGACCTCAGGCCGACGCTCTAACCCTGAGCCAAACCGGCCAGGGCTTCACAACTTTTTTTACATAGAAAATGATATTTGTGTGACATGCTGGGCTGAATGGAAGAGCCTGCTTGTGGATGAAATACCAGTTAAAATGCTCTACAACAAAATACTAAAGGTTGCAAAGAGTGTGCCTAATTGTTTAAAGAAAAGATGGACACTAACCTGGTGGCTTCTCTCCTAGTATCAGAAACAACCCCTGCTAAAGCCATCCAGCCAAGCTACAGCAAAGACATCTACCAGCAGCTGTACCTCTGAATACTCTTCTAACACAGGTAAGCCAAGTTCACCCAAACTCTAACAAACCTGTTTCGTACTCAACCAATTCAAATGAAAATTAAACCCTTCTCTTCTGGAAAGGTGGACTTACCTGTTGTACTCAGATAAAGCTTGAGCAATCACAAGCCCCATTCCCTAGAAAGAAAAAGGACAGCACAGGTGAAATAAGGAGCTGGTGGTGATGTTATGATTAGGCCAGGAAAAACACTAATTACATCCCCCTGATCCAAGCCCAATAAGTTCTACCTGAAAGCTGGCAAGGAGGACAGAAATTCTGAGAGGCATTGCCAAAGCATCAAAAGGAACTTCTTTGGAGATATCTCTCTGATCTAATTATCTTACTGTTACTTAATAGAGTAACGGGGTGAAACAGACAAGTCCAGATCACTAACAATTTCACTGGGTTCATTTTCATCTCAAAAGAGAAGACTGAGTTAGAGGCTTCAAACAAAAAAACTTTTATGTCTCTAAAACAACCACAATAAAAGTGACAATGAGTCCCATGCTAAATGAAGGTGCATATAGACAAGTCACTCTCTTTCAGGCCACAGGAATATAGGAGTATGATGAGAAGAAGCATCCAATAAATGTTACAGTAACTTATCAACTTTCCTTCCAGAATCTGCTAAGCACAACACAAAGATCAATTAAGGCCACAAGATGAATCATGTGCACATCTATTCATAAGGGAAATTAGAAGAATGAAGAGGACAAGATGGAAAGAGAATAAACCAGACACCTGGTCATCTTTCTCCTCCCTATATTCAGAGATCAGATGTTATTTCCCAAACTTTCAAGGATATATTGTAGCAGATATATACCATCATCCATGTTTCAGATTCACCAAGTCAAGTTATAAATATCATCTAGCTAGTTCTATAAGAAGGAATATCCTATCATTTAGTCACCTGAGCCTTCTTTATTATTTTCTAACTTTAGCTTTAATAGGATATAATTGACATATAAAATTATAAGCTATTTATAGTATACAGTATAGTATTTTGATATATCATCTAAGTCTTCTTATTCTTGGAAATGTAACTTATTGACTCTGTAGGACAGTCAACCTCAGCACACTACAACATAAAATATAACCAACTATTTCATCATGATTAGCAAGCAAATGTCCGCTCAAACCTTCCTTCCATGATATGAGAAGATAGAATACAATAAGATAGTTTCAGTAATGCTCTAAAAAGAAACACCGATTCCCTCTTTTATAGTCAGATGAAATTAACACAAAAGCTCTCTGCTTTCTAAATATCCACTGCAAGTAAGTCCTCTGAAAGTAAGTCATCAAAACAATACACAAAGATCCAGATACTCACATTGAGCGTGGCCTCATCATCCACAATAGACAGCTTCACAATATAAGGATTCACAGACTGTTAAAGAAGAGAGGAGACTTAAGGTGAGTATGACCTACTTAAGAACCCATTAACATCCTGGCCAGTTTGGCTCAGCGGTAGAGCATCGGCCTACAGACCAATGAGTCGTGCAGGTTCGATTCTGACCAAGAGCACGTACCTCGGTTGTGGTTCATCCCCAGCCCTGGTCCAAGTCCTACGGGAGGCAACCAGTTGATATGTCTCTCTCATGTAGATGTTTCTCTCTCTCTACCTCTCTCTCCCTCCCACTCTATCTGAAGATAAATAGAAAAATATCCTTGGGTGAGGATTAAAAAATAAGAAGAACCCATTAACTAGTTAACAAAGTGTTAACAAAAACACACCTATCAGGCCCTCTCACTATGGCAATGCTCCTACTACCCAGACCCAACCCATCTTGCAGAATGACTGCCCCCATTTCCAGTAAGTCTCTCAAAGTGCATGGGCATTCACCAAGCACGCGCAAGCGCACAACATACACAAATTCTGTTCTTCCTGCATTTTCCTCTAGGTTGAATCAGCTCAAGCCTATGTCTGCCACTTCTTCCATCTTTCCCTCTTGTTTCTAAAACATAAGTGAACACTCCACAAAACTCACTTTGTCCTATCCTGCCAACAATTTACTGAGTCCATAGGGACGACTGTCTTTTGGGGGATATAAAAGCTTCTTTGCCATAAGGTACAAATTTGTAAGTTGCTAACTTACTTTCTCATCCCAAAGGCTCCCTAACCATTCCACAAACAATATGCAAGGACTGATTCACCCACCCGTAAAACAAAGCCACCTGGGGGGTGGAAAGTGGCAGCTGCTTAACAGCCAGAGAGGCCATTTATGGATCCGATACCCAAATAACACTGCAGGGGAACTGAAAAAAAAAAATGATGTAATTACCCAAACTACAATCTGGCCAGGACGCTGGGATTTAATGATTGTCCCATCACTTATAGCATTGGAAGATTTCCTGAGTTTTTCCAGACCCAATCTCAGCTGGGCAGCATATGGAAATGAACATATATTTAAACTCATTAAGCAGTTAGGCCATCTCCTACTGGTGAGATGAGAACCAATGACCTGCTCACCTTGAAAACATCCCACTCATGGGATGTGAGGAAAGACCTCATGTAGATCAGGCACCAATTCTAACCCAAGGCAAGCAGGGAACAATAGTTCTCAGATTGGCAGTTTTTAGAGCAACTAAGAAAACTCATTACAGAGAAACTTGGAAACCCAACTAAAAGGCTAACCCCCCACACAGACCTTATTTAATCAAGTTTCTGAGGGCATCTTTTCGAATGTCAACTGGGAATGGAGAAAGAGACAGCTTTGCTTTCTTAACAGTCCAAATGTTTATAAGGTTTTCTCAACACAACTCAAGGAGGTAAAATCTACTCCCCATTTGTTACTTGATCTAACACAGGAAAGCTTTCAACAACACTTCTTCCTATAACCAACAGTCAAATCCTGCTGATGCTACAGACTTCAGATAAGATCCAAAGCAAGTGAATGTCTGAAAAAGAAAATCAGCAAGAGGCTAACCTAGATATGCCACCATGATGAGAACACTAGAAGGAAAAGGCCACTGTTTCTTGGCATACTTTTTTAAAGTCCTAGTCACTCAGCTTCCCAAAAGTACACTGCTCTAGGTAATAAGGATCATCTGATTACCAAGAATAGTCTGTGCGTTAGCAGCAGTTGCGGGGAAGGCAAGGTGGCTAAAAGCAAGAGTTTGAATTCTAGCTCCTCTACTCATTAATTGTGGTAAGTTAGGCACACTAATTCACATGAGCTCAATCTCCTCATCTGTAAAATGGAGATAATATTTTCTTCCTCGAGGTTTCTATGACACTTAAGTGAAATATGATGGAAAATTCTTAGCATAGTATCTGGCATATGGTAAGGGCTCAATGATTGTTAACTATATTTTTTTCTCCTTTGACGTTTTTATCACATTCTAAGGAAGTTCTTTAGGAAAGAGAAAAAAGAGAGAGAAAGAAAGGGAACAACTTGAAACTGGACATAATAAACAACTTTGTAATTTCTGAAAAATGTCATGTTCAACTAGCAGCAGTTGGGGAGTGAGTCACTTCATTTCAGGAGATGGGGCCAACCTAGAAGGCCAGGATATTAATGCTGTAAAAATTTCTATTCTGCCCTGGCCGGTTTGGCTCAGCTGTTAGAGCGTCGGCCTGCAGTCCGGAGAGACCCAGGTTCGGTTCCCACTAAGGGCACCTCGGTTGCAGTTTGTCCCCAGCCCTGGTTGGTCGTGCGGGTGGCAGCCACTCGATGTATCCCTTTCACGTTGACGTTTCTCTCTCTTTCTCAGTTCCTCTCTCTCCCTCCCACTCTATCTGAACAAAAAATGGGAAAATGTCCTCAGGTGAGGATTAAAAAAAAAATTTTTTTTATTCTTTATATACTGATACTCCTTAGCACCATGTACCTGTTGTGCTGGTCACGTTTTAAAACTAGAGGCATTCTACTTTCAGCCACAAAACAGAATTACAAACTCAGTGAGCCATCACGAGATCACTCAAATAGCATCCTGCCTCTATTTGATCTAAATCATTCCATACTTACCATTTTTCAATGCACTTCCTTAGACCTTTTTTTTGGCCTCCTCTATCTCTTTAGATAAAATGACTAAATGGAATGCATTATTTGAGGTGAGGAAGAACTATTTTATATATATATAAATACATATTTTTTTAATCCTCATCCGAGGATATTTTTCCATCCATCTTCAGATAGAGTGGTTGGGGGGAGGGGCGGTAGAGAGAAACATTGACTGGAGAGGGACACATTGACTGGCTGCCTCCCGCAGGACCCTGACCAGGGTCAAGGACAAACTAAAATCGAGGTATGTGCCCTTGACTGAAACCGAACCCGCGACTAATTGGTCCACAGGCCCATGCTCTAACCACCAAGCCAAACTGGCCGGGGCAAGAACTATTTTTTATATTTACCATGTGACATCTTTTCTATCACTTCCATTTCTTTTTATTTTTTATTTTTATTTTTGGTATGTGCCCCTAGCGGGAACTGAACCCAGGACTCTCTGGTCCGCAGGCCGACACTCCAACCGCTGAGCCAAACCGGCCAGGGTTCACTTCCATTTCTTAAATCCAATACCTTATTTAACTTCTCTGTGTTGAGCTAGACACCCAGCCTCTCTGGTGTCCTCTGCACCTTTCTAGAAAGGTTACGACTTACTGCTTGGGTCATGGGATTGATTGCAGTATAGCTAGAATTCTGTTCTCCGCAGCACACACCTTCTCATACTAGTTTGCGTAAAATTTTACCAGCTTTTGGTTTTGCTATTCATCTGGAATTCCTCATGTTTCTTCAAAAACCTACCTCCTCCATGGTCACCAGGATTCCTTAATGTTTTCTGGTGAGTGACTTATATCAAAAGCTGCAAAGCCCAGATAAATTATGCCCACCAGCTTGACCTTGCCTACTATATTAATTCTTCTGGGGCTTCTGACAAACTAGAGATACATGCCTCACTCCAGAAATATTATTTTCTCCAATTCCTTGGCCACATCCAATTTTTCAGGCTGATATTTCAGAGAGCCCTACTGGGCTGAGCCAGATTTCAGTTCACATTCAGAAAAGCCAAGCCACTGCCCCAGAGTGGCCTGCATTCAACAGAATGTTCCAAAAATATTCATTCCTGATGATGGTGCTTTCCTATCACATATAACTCAACTCTCTTTAAGTATCTTCAGCATTTTTCCTCAGCTATTTTTTTTTTTGCTTTTGTAATAAGGCCCCAGAGGCTATTATACTTGATAGAGATAAAATTGGCTACCATGCCAACCCCTCCAGATTACCAGTAAAACAGGTGTTGGTGATAAATTACATATCTATTAGTCGCTCTAAATGCCATTCATCAGTTCCTCCAAGACAATGAAAGCGATCAGCTCCTAGGATTTATAACACATTAACGTTGCTCCACATATTCCAATTCCCCTTTAAGTATTCCTTTCTCACGGCCTCCCCTTCTTCTATATCACTCTGTGTAAGAATAAGCTCCAGATTTTGTTAACTCATCACTTTTGACCTGGCTAGGAATCATATCAAACATCACTAAGCAAGGATCCAGAAGTTCAGAAATGACAATCCTCCCTCCAATTGGCCCACTTTTCCTAGCATTGCTACTTATTAAGTGAGGAAAGTCAGGTTGCCTCCATGTAGTTCCTGACTTCTGGGTTTAGTAAAGTACTCCTAGTGTCTAGGACTGAGTGCTAAATGCTCCTTATTACTCCAAAGCTATCCCCAATAAGGTTCTGGTCTTCCCTAACTGGACTCCTTCCTTTTCTTTTTTTTTTATCCTCACCCAAGGGCATTTTTCCATTTTTTGTTTTAGATAGAGTGGAAGGAGAGAGGAAGAGAGAGAGAAAGCGAGAGAGAGAGAGAGATCGATGTGAAAGGGACACATCGAGTGGCTGCCTCCCGCACAACCCCAACCGGGGCTGGGGACAAACTACAACCGAGGTACATGCCCTTAGCAAGAATTAAACCCGGGTCTCTCTGGACCGCAGACTGACGCTCTAACCACGGACCCAAACTGGCCAGGGCTGGCCCTCTTCCTTTTCCATGTATTCTGCCTTTTGAGGGGAATCAAGTAGACACACCAACCCAAGTAGAAATCTCTCTGAGTTCTGCTCTTCATCTCAAAAACCTATAAATCTGTCCCTAGTTAATTCAGGGGCAAAATTAACTCCAAAATTAACACAAATAAGTTTGTCTTCAATTTCCATTAAAATAAGAAAGTTTCCAGACCAACAGTGATACATTAAGAAAACCCAACATATAAAAGTCCAATCTTTCAAAACAAATGCATTAGGTCAGTGGTTCCCAATCCTGGCAAATCATCATATTCAATAGAGGATCTTAAAAAAATACAGATTCCCAGGTACCACCCCCAAAAGATTCTGACTCAGTGTGTTGAGAGTAAAGCCCAGAAATTTCTTCTTTTTAAAAAGTTCCTGGCCCTGGCCGGTTTGGCTCCAACAGCGTCGTCGGCCTGCGGTACAGAGAGACCCGGGTTCGGTTACCGGTAAGGGCATGTACCTCAGTTGCAGTTTGTCCCCGGCCCTGGTTGGTCGTGCAGGTGGCAGCCACTCGATGTGTCCCTTCACATCGATGTCTCTCTCTCTCTCTCTCTCTCTCCCTCCCGCTCTATCTGAACAAAAAATGAAAAAATGTCCTCGGGTGAGAATAAAAAAATAAATAAATAAATAAATAAATAAAATAAATAAAAAGTTCCTGCCTGGCCCTGGGCAGTTTTGCTCAGCAGTTAGCGTAAGCCTGCAGACCAGAGAGTCTTGGGTTCGGTTCCCGCTAAGGGCGCGTACCTCAATTGCAGTTTGTCCCTGGCCCTGGTTGGAGTCGTGTGAGTGGCAACCATTTGATGTGTCCCTTTCACGTCGATGTTTCTCTCTCTCTCTCTTCTTCCCTCTCTTCCTTCTGCTCTATCTGAAGATAAATGCAAAAAAAAAAAAAAAAAAATGTCCTCGGGTAAGGATAAAAAGATAAATAAAAAGTTCCTGCCCAGCCAGTGTGGCTCAGTGGTTGAGCATTAACCCATGCATCAAGAGGTAGCCGGTTTGATTCCCAGTCAGGGCACATGCCCCGGTTGTGGGTCAAATCCCCAGTGGGGGGCATGTAGGAGGCGGCCAATCGATGTTCTCTCTCATCAATGTTTCTATCTCTCTCTCCCTCTCCCTTCCTCTCTCTCTAAAATCAATAAAGAGGGGCCCTGGCCGGTTTTGCTCAGTGGTTAGAGCGTTGGCCTGTGGACCAGAGAGTCCCAGGTTCGGTTCCTACTAGGGGCACATACCTCAGTTGCAGTTTGTCCCCGGCCCTGGTTGGTTGTGCGGGTGGCAGCCACTCGATGTGTCCCTTTCACATTGTTGTTTCTCTCTCTCTCTTCCTCTCTCTCCCTCCCATTCTATCTGAATAAAAAAGAAATGGAAAAAATGTCTTCGGGTGAGGATAAAAATAAATAAATAATGTTGCTATTCTTTAAAAAAATTTAAAAGAAAAAAAAAAACAAAAAAAACAGCTGTATCATCTGCCCCATGCATATTTTCTTTTCTTTTTTATCCTCACCCAAGGACATTTTTTTTGCATTTATCTTCAGGCAGACAGGCAAGAAGAGAGAAAGAGAAACATCGATGTGAGAGAGACACATCGACTGGTTGCCACCCATAAGGCCGGGACCAGGGACAAACTGCAACTGAGTACCTGCCCTTAGCGGGAACCAAACCTGGGTTTCTATGGTCCGCAGGCCAACGCTCTAACCACTTAGCTAAACTTGCCAGAGCTGCTCCATGCATTTTATATCGGATTTTTAGAATTTGGTGTATCAAAATAAATCCATATACCATTTACCAAGAGCATGTCTTCCATATTAAACAAAGTCTTCTAGCCCTGGCCGGTTTGGCTCAGCAGTTAGAGCGTCGACCTGCGGTCCTGAGAGACCCGGGTTCGGTTCCCGCTAAGGGCGCGTACCTCGGTTGCAGTTTGTCCCCGGCCCTGGTCGGCCGTGCGGGTGGCAGCCACTCGATGTGTTCCTTTCACATCGATGTTTCTCTCTCTCTCTCTCTGTTCCTCTCTCTCCCTCCCACTCTACCTGAACAAAAAATGGGAAAATGTCCTCAAGTGAGGATAAAAAAAAAAAAAAAGTCTTCTAGGAGTAGCCACATGTAGGAAGATAATAGAAAGATAACAACTTATCAATTAAAGGGCCCACTTACCTCATATTTTCTGTAGTTGACCAGCAAAGCCAAGAGGACTACAGCATCATACCCATGCACCCTACGACTTGGGGGGTGGGAGAGTATCTATAATAAGAACCAGAAATGTGTGAGAGTGCTAACTCCTACTTCCTAGGAAGGCAGACAAAGAGTATTTGAGGAGGTAGTTTACCCAAAGAAGAAAGAGGTGACAAGGGAATTGACCAACCTGTAAAATTGCTTCAAATATGCTGTTGATCATTACATACTCCAGGATAGTGTTCTGGCTGATGTTATCTGTCACCTGAGTGCAATAAAAAGCTTTTTAAAAACTATACTGAGATACTCTAACATTACTCTAACATATATCTCCTCCACTAGTATCTGAGAGAAACAGAAATGTTAAAACATTCTACTAGATATTTACCAGACCTTTTATAATCTCCTTCAAAGCCACCACAGCCTACATAGACACTAGACTAAAACAGACATTAGATGGGTAAGAAATTAGCAAATTAAAAATCTCTAAATTTTTGTTTGTTTGTTTTTATTAATCCTCACCCCAGGATATTTTTGCATTGATTTTTAGAGAGAAGGAGTGACCAGGAATTGATTCCGTCACCCTTCGGTGTGTGGGCCAAGGCTCTAACCACTGAGCAATTAATGCCAGGGAGGAAACTCCCTAAATTTTTTAACTTCTCATAGTTCCTCTCATAGCCAACACAAGCATTTGCTTAACAGTTTCTTGGGTATCAGTCCTCAAATGGCATAGGAAGAAGTTTATGATCCAGAAGTCTTTGAGTGGTGGCAAGGAAAGGTTCAACCACCTGAAGTAAATGAACAATACCTTGCCCTCCTCCCACCAGAAGGCACAGGCCAGCTTCAAGCTACAAAATCTAAGTCAGAACAAACAAAAACATTCAGAATCACAGAAACTGTTTCCAAATGAGACCTGATGAGAAGGGCAAATCTGCTAATCCAGAAGAGAGTAGATCTCCAGGAATGGTACCTCTAGAGTAACAAATATTCCATATCCTACAGGCTAAAGTGCCAGGAGTTTCTCCAAACAGCAACTTCCAGGAAACAAAAGCTCATGCAACTAACTTCCTCCTACACATTCAAACACAACAGAATGATGTAATGCCCCAATAGATGATTTATTTTTCTCTATTCCTCTCTAGTTTTGTGCTCAAGTATTCAAATAAGTTTGCCCCTGCTGTCAATTAATATCCTTGAAAAAGAAATATATAATGAGTTACTTACAGTCACTAAGCAAAGGAGAAGTTTCAAACATAAACTCTTCAGACTTTCAGAACCTTCTGCACAAAGCAACGAATCCAAACTCTCCATCAAGTTCTGAGAAAGGAATGGTTAAGTGTTAAACCATATCAAATAATATCTGCACTGTGTCTGCCCAATTCTGGGTTATGTTACACAGTGTAAAGTGAATTAACACACAATGAAGTAAGCATATCATTCCCTGAGGCCCAGGCCTTACAAAATTAGACAAAGTAAAGGAAGACTTCTAAGTCTAGCTATTTTTGGAAAAATGCTTTAGAACAACTATATAGAATAATAGAATTCACTATTCTACCAAGTAAATATTTCTAGCCTGTCATCCTCATATAAACCTTTAGTTTAGAATGAAGTAAATTTTTAAAAGATCAATAATAATGGTTAAATTAAATAAGTATATGAAATAATATATAAGCTAATAAATTAAAATAATAAATAAAATAATTAAGTTCAAGGTTAATAATAATAGTTCAATAACTAGATATGTTTCATTATTTGATAAAGAAAATATATCACTTGAGAAAGGCACACTGAACAAGCAACACTGAGACAGTAACACTACTGGCTATCACTGGCATAGTTATGCAACAAAGCTAGCTTGTGTCCATCCTGGTCAATTCCACAAGATAATGTGAGTGGAGTTTATCACTTATACTAACAACCAGCTGTTAGACACAATGTAATCAAAAGATAAAATCCTTAGATACTACAATAGAAGGAAGAAGAAAAGAAGTATCTTACATTAAATGAAGAAAGAAAATAAATGAATAAGAGTTTAGCATGCTGAGAAGTGAAGGTTCAAAATAAGCTACTTCAGTTCAATTCAACAAATATGTAGTGAGGGTCTACTATATGCTAAATATTGTGCTTTCAAAAATACAAAAAAAAAAGCCCAGCCGGTGTGACTCAGTGGTTGAGCATCGACCCATGCACCAAGAGATGGCCGATTCAATTCCTGGTCAGGGCACATGCGCAGGTTGTGGGCCTGATCCCCAGTGGGGGAAATGCAGGGGGCAGCCAGTCGATGTTCTCTCTCATCGATGTTTCTATCTCTCTCTCCCTATCCTTTCCTCTCTGTCTAAAAATCAATAAAGGAAAAATATTTTTAAAAATAAAATAAAAAATACTAAAAAAGCCTGGTCGGTGTGGCTCAGTGGATTGCACGGCATCCCATGGACTGAGAGTTCCAAGTTTAATTCCCAGTCAGGGCACATGTCCAGGTTGTAGGCTTGATCCCCCATGGCAGGTGTGCAGGAGGCAGCTGATCGATGTTCCTCTCTAACATCAATGTTTCTATCTCTCTCTCTCCCTTCCTCCCTCTCTAAAAAGTCAATAAAAACATATTTTTTAAAAAATATAAGAAAAACACTTCTGAGATCTTGCTTCCTGGCATTGTCAGTTTTGTCTCAAATAAACACTTATTAAAATTAAAAAAAATAATAATAAGGCAATGACTCTTGCTCTCAAGGTGTTTTTAGTCTAATGGGAGAGAAAAATAAGAAAACAATTTTGATGTAATTGTTACTATAACAGAAATATACATGGAGGAAGGAAAATAGTTCAGATGTCACCTATTCTAGGACTCCTCAAGTTTGGGTTGTATTTTGAAAAATTAGTAAGAATTAATTAAAACTTGAGGAGGAAAGAAATTCTAGACAAGCATTAGCATGATCAAAGACACAGGAGGAATGAAACAGCTCTGAATACAAAGTTGGAATACAATTAGTTTTTTATTATGGAATAATGAGTGAGAAACAGTGGTGAGAGATGAGACTAGAGAAATAAACAAGGAGCAGGTCATGCAAGTTTTAAAAGGCTAACTAGGAGTTTGGTCTTTATCCTATTAGTGATAGGAAACTAATGAAGGGTCTTAAGCAGGAAAAATTTGAGTGTAAGATACAATACCTCTGGTGTCCATGTGGATGACAGATTTAAAGATGATAAGCCTGGAGGAATGGAGACAAATGAGGACTAATCTATCAGTTTTCAGAAAATAGTTGCTATGTCTTATTTGCCTCTGTATCCTCAGTGCCTGGCACACAGGAGCCTAACAAATGTTTGTCAAAAGTATGAATGTAGGCATCACTGCAACAGTTCAAGTGAGAGATAATGGGGACACTGGCAACAGGGGGGGTGGAGGGGAGGGGGAAGGTATGAGAAATATGAGCTGAGGTAAAATTCGCTGAACTTGGTGATCATCTAGAAATGAAAAATGAGGAAGAGGAAAGAGTCAAGGATGACTCCCAGGCTTTTTGGCTTTAGGGACTGAGAAGACAGGTGCCCCTATTCTGATAGGGAATGAATGAGGAAGAACAGATGTCAGGAAAACAATGAGTTCCATTTTGAATATGTTAAGCAACAGATATTTAGGGATGTGTAAGTAGTATATTCAGCAAGTGCTTATACAGTACATATACAACTCAGACTCATGAGGGAATGTTAAAACTCAAGTTAGAGACTTAGTAATCAGCAGTATACACGCAGTAGTTAGAATGATGACAATGAAAGAGAAATATGGGATTTTACTATGATACATACATAAACTGTATAGGCTAGAATTTAAAAAATGATTCCAGGTAGTAAATCTTTGTGTATTCATAATTGTCTATTCATAACCTTTTAAAATAACTTAATCACTATAAGGATTCTTTGGCACACAGATTTTATATTTTAAATTTACTGAGTGACAGAAGACTAGTTCCTCAAATATGTTGTTCACATTGTAAACAACATTCATTCAAGATATTGTCAAACACTGCAAATCTGATATCTGATAAGAGACTTATATCCAAAATATGAAAAGAACTCTTATGCCCTGGCCGGTTTGGCTCAACGATTAGAGCGTTGGCCCGAGGACCAATGAGTCGCAGGTTCGATTCAGTTGCGGTTTGTCCCTGGCCCAGGTCAGGTCCTGTGGGAGGCAACCACTTGATGTGTCCCTCTCCCATTGATGTTTCTCTCTCTCTCTCTCCCTCCCTCCCTCTCTATCTGAAGATAAGTAGAAAAATATCCTCAGGTGAGGATTTAAAAAAAGAAACAAAACAAACTCTTACAACTCAACAATAAAAAGAGACAAATAAATCAATCTATAAATAGGCAAAGGATCTTAATAGCCTTTTCTCAAAAATAAAAACAACAAATAAAAGCTATTGTTAACGAGAATGTGAAGAAACTGGAACCCTCATACATTGCTGGTAAAACTGTAAAATGGAACAGCAACTTTGGAAAATAGTGTGGCAGTTCCTCAAAATGTTAAACATAGAGTTACCATCTGACCCAGCAATTCCACTCCTGCATATATACTCAAGACATCTGAAAACATATGTCCACGCAACAACTTATACATGAGGGGAAAGCAGGAGGGGGGTGGGAGAGGGGAAGAGGGATCAATGCGGGGGTGGACATTTGTAATACTTTCAACAAAAAAGATTTTTTCAAATAATCTTATACACGAGGCTGGGTGGAAGGGGGCAAATGGTGCGGGGAACAAAACAAATATAAAAAACATAAATGAATGTTCATAGCAGCATTATTCATAATAGTCAAAATGTTGAAATAGCCCAAATGTACATCAATTGATGAATGAATAAATAAAATGATATGGTACATTCATAACAAAGGAATACTAATCAGCCATAAGCCCTGGAGGGTTGGCTCAGCAGTTAGAGCGTGGTCCATGGACAGAAGGATTACAGGTTCAATTCCCAGTCAAGGGCACATACTTGGGTTGCAGGTTTGATTCCCTAACCCAGTCAGGGTCATGCAAGAGGCAACCAATCGATGTCTCTCTTGTATCGATATTTCTCTCTCTCCCTTCCATTATATCTAAAAATCAACGGGGCCCTGGCGGTTTGGCTCAGCAGTTGGAGCGTTGGCCCATGGACCAGAGAGTCCTGGGTTTGGTTCCCACTAAGAGCACGTACCTCGGTTGTGGTTCGTCCCAGGCCCCGGTTGGGGTCGAGTGGGTGGCAATCACTCGATGTGTCTCTCTCTCTCTTCCTCCCTCTCTCCCTCCCACTCTATCTGAAGATAAATGTAAAAACATCCTCGAGTGAGGATAAAATAATAATAATAATAATAATAATAATAATAATAAAATAAAAATCAATGGGAAAACATCTTCAAGTGAGAATTAACAAAACATAAAAAGGAATGAGGTATCGATACATGCTATAACATGGATGAACCTTGAAAACATGCTAAGTGAAAGAAGCTAGAAACACCACATATGATTACATTCATATTAGATGTCCTGATCAGGTAAATCCATAGATACATAAAGCAGACTGATGGTTACCAGAGCTACAGAGAAGGGAAATGAGGAATGACTGTTAATGGGTATATGTTTTCTTTTGCGGGTGATGAAAATGTTTTGAAATTAAAAGCAGTGATAGTTGTACAGCTTCATGAATATACTAAAAACCCCTTAAATGACACACTTTATTTTTTATTTATTTTATTTTTTTTTTATCCTCACCCGAGGACATTTTTCCATTTTTTGTACAGATAGATTGGGAGGGAGAGAGAGGAAGAGAGAGAGAGAGAAACATCGATGTGAAAGGGACACATCGAGTAGCTGCCACCCGCACGACCAACCAGGGCCGGGGACAAACTGCAACCGAGGTACGTGCCCTCAGAGGGAACCAAACCCGGGACTCTCCGGACCGCAGGCGGACGCTCTAACCACTGAGCCAAACCAGCCAAGGCTTAAATGACACACTTTAAAAGGGTGAATCAGCCTGGCCGCTGTGGCTCAATGGATTGAGCATCATCCAATGGACTGAGAGGTCCTGGTTTGATTCCTGGTCAGGGCACATGCCTAGGTTTCTGGCTCAATCCCCAATAGGAGGCGTGCAGGAGGCAGCCAACCGATATTTCTCTCTCTCATTGATGTTTCTCTGTCTCTCTCTAAAAAAAAAATCAAGAAAAAACATTTAAAAAGATAAATAAAAGGGTGAATTATATGATATGTAAAGTATACATCAATAAAGCTGCTATTTTTTAAAGTATCAAACAGAAATAAAAATTCTGATAGTCATTGTGTTAAATAAGAAAGCTTAAAGCTTAGAACTAAAGTTACCCTTGTATGTTTTATTACATTTTATTTAAGTTCATAAATGTTTTTAAGACTGTATGATCATATGATATAAATCATACAATAAACTGCTCAGTCTTTATCCTGCAGAGAAAGGATGGCTGAATTCAAATTTGAACTTCAAATTTTCCTTTATTCAGATAAACCAAATCTGTAAAATAAAAACATCCAAATTCAAGGCCAAATTCAATCATTTATTTCTATTTGAGTCCAAATCTTCTAGTACATTTAACTGTCTGCAGATGGCACCCGTGAATAGCTCTCAGAAGCATCCATACACAGGTACAGCTGCAGCTTAAGCCTCACCTTCATGCACAGCTCCGCCTTGTCAAAGCCCATCAGCATGTTGATAATGTCAAACCCAGAGGTAGACTTATTCTTTTGATGTACTCCTCGAATGAGTGCACACAAGGTCTGCAGAGATAAGAGAAAGAATTCATTCTAGAGAGGAAGTCTCAAAATGAAGGGCACTGGATCTATAGCCTCACATTGCAACCTCAGAACCTCCTACTTGCACAGCTGACATTCAAGTGCTTTCATACTTGAGCTCCAAAACTCAGTCTGAGAATTAATATATACAAAATCCAGAAATCAAGAGGAACAGCAACTAAAATTGTTGTTATCCTCTTTTTCTGTTGCTTTTCAGCCATCCTCTTTTTTTTTTTTTGGTACGTGCCCCTAGCCGATAGGGCCTAGCGGGAACTGAACCCGGGACTCTCTGGCCCGCAGGCTGATACTCCAACCACTGAGCCGAACCAGCCAGGGCGCCATCCTCTTTTTTATTTATATATTTATTTTTATCCTCGCCCGAGGACATTTTTCGATATTCTGCTCAGATAGAGTGAGAGGGAGAGAGACGGAGAGAAAAACATCATTGTGAAAGGGACACATCGAGTAGTTGCCACCCACATGACCCAACCAGGGCTGGGGACAAACTGCAACCGAGGTACATGCCCTTAGCAGGAACCGAACCCAGGTCTCTCCAGACCACAGGCTAACACTCTAACCGCTGAGCCAAACCGGCCAGGGCTGCCATCTTCTTTTTTAAAACTACACTGCAGACAAAGACTAAGAGGTGATATTCAAAAATAAAAAACAGTTCCTGAGGTTGTGTAGTGAAATTGCTGAAATTATCCTATATTTAAAATTAATTTTAGTATTTACATTATAGTTTATCATTTTTAGTAATTATTTTTAATAACTACAAGTTCTTTAAGTCCCTATATGATAACAACCAATTGCTTCAAATCTTAAATTCATTACATTCCATTATTTGTAAGCTGTGTGAGCCTGGACAAATTAGTTAACTTTTCAGTGCCTCAGTTGTTTTATAAAATGGGAAAGACGCCCTGACCAGTTTGGCTCAGCAGTTGAGCGTCACCCTGTGGACCAGAGAGTCCCGGGTTGGGTTCCCGCTAGGGGCACGTACCACAAAAAAAAAAAAGGGGAATGACAATAATAGCACCCATCTCACACGAATGTTGTGACAACGATGGGAATTAATACCATAAAGCACTTAGAACAGTCCCTGGAACTTTGTTAAAGTTCCAATAACAGTATCTGGAATGTTGTTAAAGTTCAATAAGTATAAGCTATTACAATAATATACTATATTTTTATTGGTCACCAAGTGACTAATGTCAATTTATTTCCACTGAACTAAAAACAGCTTACAATTCATGCCCCAACAGTGAACCACTGCAATTACGGAAGTACACTTTTCGACTTTCACTTCAACTTTCAATGAGCCCCTACAACTGTGGAATTTATTGTGCCAAAGATTAAAAGAGTTACAGGATAAACATAGTCCTTCTTTCTGGGGCATCAACTCAAGAGGTAATTTCTATATTCTACAGATGAGAAAACTGGGGCTCGCAAAATGGAAACTTAAACCCAATCAACCGAAACTTCCAATAAAATCCTTTATGCTGTCTATCACTGCCCTAAGTCTGTCAATCACTGACCTAAGTACTCAGCCCTAGAAAGGCTAACCTTGGAACTACTAGACATAAACTTTAGAAATTCTGCCCATCAACTGGCTGGTGTGGCTCACTGGTTGAGCATCAACCCATGCACTAAGAGGTCGTCAGTTCAATTCCTGGTCAGGGAACATGGTCAGGTTGTGGGCCCAATCACCAGTGGGGGGCATGAAGAAGGCAGCCAATCAATGTTCTCTCTCATGGATGTTTCTCTCTCTCTCTCTTCATCTCTTTCTAAAATCAATAAAGAAACAATATTTTTTAAAAAAAAGAAACTCTGCCCATCATTCATTCAATAAAAATTTACTTCTAGAGTGCTATTTGCCAGGCACTGTTCTACACACTAGGAACAAAGTTTTGAATGAAACTATCAGAGTCTTTGCCCTCAGGAAGCGTACAATGTATCCCCATGAGCCCAATGGTTGGCACATAAGAGTCATCCAAGAAATAATTGTTCAGTGAATCTTCCTCATAATCATGCCACCTAGCATTAAGAACAATGTTTTCAGAGTTACAGACCCTTTTAAGAATCTGATGAAAACCCTCGCTCCAAAAAGATTATACATATACACATAAAATATTATATATAGCCCTGGCCGGTTTGGCTCAGCGGTTAGAGCATTGCCCTGCAGACCGGAGAGTCCCAGGATTGATTCCCACTAAGGGCACGTACCTCAAGTGCAGTTTGTCCCCAGCCCCGGTTGGGGTCGTGTGAGTGGCAACCACTCGATGTGTCTCTCTCATATCAATGTTTCTCCTTCTCTCCCTCCCACTCTATCTGAAGATACATGCAAAAATGTCCTCAGGTGAGGATTTTAAAAAAAAGAATCTCCTCTGATTTTTGCTGTAGACTAAGCAACCTTGCCTCAGTTTCCTCTCTATCTCTTCCTTTCCTTAAGTAATATTAAGAATTTTATCAAACAATCTGCCTTGGCACTAGATCAGTTATACAAATAGACAAGAGTAATACCATAAGCATCAGTTTGTTTAACCAGGAAGATGACTAAACAAGTATGACACAGACATTTGATTACTTAAAGAAATAAAGAAAATAGCCCTGGCCGGTTTGGCTCAGCGGTTAGAGCATCCGCCTGCGGTCCTGAGAGACCCGGGTTCGGTTCCCGCTAAGGGCATGTACCTCGGTTGCAGTTTGTCCCCGGCCCTGGTCGGTTGTGCGGGTGGCAGCCACTCGATGTGTCCCTTTCGCATCGATGTTTCTCTCTCTCTCTCTCTGTTCCTCTCTCTCCCTCCCACTCTACCTGAACAAAAAATGGAAAAATGTCCTCCGGTGAGGATAAAAAAAAAAAAAAAAAAGAAATAAAGAAAATAGAAAACCTCACATCTAAGGGCAATTCTAGGTTCCTCAGGTCCCAACAGATGTGTTACAATTTCTCTCTCCTGTCAAACAAGACTTCCCAGTCTCCCAGCCTGGTACCTGTAATGCATTGACAACTCGAATTGGATGTTCCTCTCCCAGAGCCTGGATGCAGTGTTGAAATAAACAATTAATGTTGTCCTTGATCTTCATTAACTCCTCACCATCAAGAGATTCCAGCTTGCCTTCTAGGTACTCTAAATTAACCTACCAAGGAAACAATAAGGGCCTGAGTTCACTTTTAGTACAGCAACTAGAACACATGAGAAGGCAATCTCAGTTACCAGGAAAATCCACAGATGTCACCAAGTCTTACCTTCATGAGGAAGAGCTCTTCCCAAAATCGAGGACTGCACTTACTGGGATCCTCTGTCTGAAATCAAGATAAGCAGGTTCAATATCTGCAACTAAACACCAAATCATTAAGAATACATTTGAGCCCTGGCCGGTTTGGCTCAGCGGTTGGAGCGTCGGCCTGCGGTACAGAGAGACCCGGGTTTGGTTCCCGCTAAGGGCACGTACCTCGGTTGCAGTTTGTCCCCGGCCCTGGTTGGTCGTGCGGGTGGCAGCCACTCGATGTGTCCCTTCACATCAATGTTTCTCTCTCTCTCTCTCTCTTCCTCTCTCTCCCTCCCGCTCTATCTGAACAAAGAATGGAAAAATGTCCTCAGGTGAGGATTAAAAAAAAAAAGAATACATTTGAGCCCTCAGCGGTTAGAGCATCGGCCTGCAGTCCGGAGAGACCCGGGTTCGGTTCCCACTAAGGGCATGTACCTCGGTTGCAATTTGTCCCGGGCCCTGGTTGGGTCGTGTGGATGGCAACCACTCGATGTGTCCCTTTCACGTTGATGTTTCTCTCTCTCTCTCTCTCTCTCCCTCCCACTCTATCTGAACAAAATATAGAAAAAATGTCCTTGGGTGAGGATTAAAAAAAAAAAAAAGAATACATTTGAAAAGGTCACTATACTTAATCTTTCAAAATTAACTTTTAAAATATTTTTTAAGCCCTGGCCAGTTTGGCTCAGCGGTTAGAGAGTCGGCCTGCGGTCCTGAGAGACCCAGGTTCAGTTTCTGCTAAGGGCACGTACCTCAGTTGCAGTTTGTCCCCGGCCCTGATTGGGTTGTGCGGGTGGCAGACACTCAATGTGTCCCTTTGACATCAATGTTTGTCTCTCTCTTCCTCTCTTTCCCTTCCATTCTATCTGAACAAAAGAAAAAAGAAAAATGGCCCTGGCTGGTTTAGCTCAGCGGTTAGAGTGTCGGCCTGCGGTCCAGAGAGACCCGGGTTCGGTTCCCACTATGGGCATGTACCTCAGTTGCAGTTTGTCCCCGGCCCCCTGGTTGGTCATGCAGGTGGCAGGCACTCGATGTGTCCCTTTCACATCGATGTTTCTCTCTCTCTCTCTCTCTCATTCATTCTCTCTCTCTCTCCCACTCTACCTGAACTAAAATGGAAAAATGTCCTCGGGTGAGGATAAAAAAAAAAAAAGGAAAAATGTCCTTGGGTGAGGATAAAAGTATAAATATATATGTATATATGTGTGTGTGTGTGTGTGTGTGTGTGTGTGTGTGTATATATATATATATATATATTTTTTTTTTAAGCCCTGGCCGGTTTGGTTCAGCAATTAGAGCATCGACCTGCGGCCCAGAGAGACCCGGGTTCAGCCCCCGCTAGGGGCATGTACCTTAGTTGCGGTTTGTCCCCAGCCCTGGTCCAGTCATATGGGAGGCAACCAGTCGATGTGGCTCTATCATCACATCAATGTTTCTGTCTCTCTCTCTCCCTCCTTCCCACTCTATCTGATAATAAGTAGAAAAATATCCTCGGGTGAGGAATACAAAAAAAAAATTTTTTTAAATACGTTTTCATTGATTTTTTTAGAGATAGTTGCCTCCTGCAAGTCCCCAATTAAGGATCAGGCCCACAACTAGCATGTACCCTGACCAGGAATCGAACCAGGACCTCTCAGTCCATGGGACAATACTCAATCCACTGAGCCCCACTAGCTGGGATCAAAATTAAATTTTAGCTTGGTCAGTATAAACTACTGTAATGGGGAACAACAGTTTTTCAAGATTTTTTTCCCAAATGGAAGGCATTTTACATATATATATATTCCCTGAACTAAAAGTTAAATATTGGCTCAAAGAATCTCCCTCAAATCTTTCTCTTCTACAAGAAGTGAACCTAATCATCTAAATAAATAAGTCAAATATGTCCCCATTGCATTTGTATCATGTCCAGTTTTCAAAGCCCATTCACATACATAAAATATAATGACCCAGTGAGATATAACCACTACCCTCCTTTTAGGAAAGAGGATCCACAAAGTTAAGTGGAGTGCAGGAGCCAAAACCCAAATCATGAGTGCAGGAGCCAGAATCCAAATCATCTCAGTAATACTGCCATGGTTTTTACAACATCCTGTGTTGACTACTTCTACTTGCCCTCATATATGCATTTAGTCTTCTCTACTGAGTTTTTGTGTTGATTTTGGGTTTTTTTCTTCATTGATTTGAGAGAGAGAGGAATGGGGAGAGAGAGAGAGATAGAAACATCAATAAGAGAGAACATCGACTAGCCGCCTCCTGCATGCTCCCCACTGGGGATTTGGCCCACAACCTGGGCATGTGTCCTGACTGGGAACCGAACCTGCAACCTCTTTGTGCATGGATCAGCACTCAACCACTGAGCCACACCAGCTGGGCCTCTGTACTGAGTTTTTTTTTTTATCCTCACCCAGGACATTTTCCTACACCTATCCCTAGATAGAGCGGGAGGGAGAGAGGGGTGAAGAGAGAGAGAGAGAAACATCAATGCAAGAGAGACACATCTACTGATTGCCACCCGCATGACCCCAACCAGGGCCAGGGACAAACTGCAACCGAGGTACATGTCCCCAGCAGGTACCTCTCCGGTCTACAGGCCGACACTCTAACCGCTGAGCCAAACCGGCCAGGGCTATACTGAGTTTTTAATATGTTCTTTCCTTAAATTGTTCTAAAAGTTTAGCAAAATTATAGTGCTAAGATACAAAATTTCTCAGCAATTATATTCAAACAGAAATTCTAGAAAGTCAGAGGCTTTTGGTTAATGAGTGAAATAAGAAAAAGATAACCCCAAACCCCACTTTACAGGAAAGCTAACAACAAAAATCAGTAGATCGATTGTCTACTATCACTTTACCTAAAGTTAACCTTTTATTTTATTTTTTTTAATATGTTTTTATTGCCCTGGCCGGTTTGGCTCTGCGGTTAGAGTGTCGGCCTGCGGTCCAGAGAGACCCGGGTTCGGTTCCCGCTAAGGGCACGTACTTCGGTTGTACTTTGTCCCCGGCCCTGGTTGGTCGTGCGGGTGGCAGCCAGTCGATGTGTCCCTTCACGTCGATGTTTCTCTCTCTCTCTCCCTTCCTCTCTCTCCCTCCCACTCTATCTGTACAAAAAATGGAAAAATATCCTCGGGTGAGGATGAAAAAAAAAAAAAAAATTTAATATGTTTTTATTAATTTTTTTTTTTTTTTTTTTTTTTTAGAGAGAGAGGAAGGAAGAAGGAGAGACAGATAGAAACATCAATGAGAGAAACATTGACTGCCTGCCTCCTGCAAGCCTCAAGTTTGGGGATGGAGCCCACAACCCGAGCATGTACCCTGACTGGTAATCAACCCCAGGGCCTTCTGGTGTATGGGTCAACACTCAACCACTGATCCACATTAGCTGGGCTTAAGTTGACCTTTCTTTTTAATCCTCACCCGAGGACTTTTTTTCCATATTTTGTTCAGATAGAGTGGGAGGGGGAGAGAGAGAGAGAAATATCGATGTGAAAGGAACACATCGAGTGCTTGCCACCCGCATGACCCAACCAGGGCTGGGGACAAACAAACTGCAACTGAGGTACATGCCCTTAGCGGGAACCAAACCCGGGTCTCTCTGGACCACAGGCCAATGCTCTAACCGCTGAGCAAAACCAGCCAGGGCTTAAGTTGACCTTTGAAAATTACTATCAAGCCCTGGCCAGTTTGGCTCAGCGGATAGAGCATTGGCCCACTGACCAGAGAGTCCCGGGTTCGGTTCCCGCTAAGGGCACGTACCTCAGTTGCAGTTTGTCCCCGGCCCCGGTTGGAGTCGTGTGGGTGGCAGCCACTCAACGAATGTGTCTCTCTCTCACATTGATGTTTCTCTCTCTCTCTTCCTCTCTCTCTCCCTCCCACTCTATCTGAAGATAAATGCAAAAATGTCCTCAGGTGAGGATAAAAAATAAACATAAATTAAAATTACTATCAAGAACTAATGTCTTCATTAGTTAAGAACTCCTGGTCTAATAAGAAAATATACTAGGAATCTCTTCTGGATTTTTAATTGGGGATGACATAGAGAAGCAATATTTCTGGCCTTCTCATAAGGTCCTCATTTAGTCTCTTTCTCTCAAGTCCTACTCCACAGGAGAGGTCACACTTTGACCCTCACATTTCTGTAATGTCATTTTGTTGTCTATATATGAAACTCAGGGGACTAATGGAGCTAGCACTTCCCATCCTCAAAGCTCACTCAAGCAGGAATCATATGTATACCAAGTTTACTTAACATAGAAAGAGCCCTAATAGAATCCTAGTACCTGCTCATTTTCTCTGTATAACCACCTATACTGACCTGGGCAATTCTGTATTAATGTTCTGCATGTCAAATTCTATCTCTAAGGCTTTGCCAAGAGTTAGATGTTTTACTTGACTGAATTATTTATCCTGAGCCATGTGGCAAAGTTAAACAAGTAAGGGCTCTAGAGTCAAACACTAGGGTTCAAATCACCTTCTAGCTGTGATCCCCAGTGTTCTCATCTATAACATGATCTTTTACTTGACATACATAAAAAACATGGCCCTCTTGCACTATTCTTGTCAGAATTAAAGCTAGTGTATTTAGTGATACATTTACAGTAATGCCAGGCACATAGTAGAAACTCAATGTACAGTAACTCTTATTAAAGGTATTCTTCTATTTCACATGTTCTACTTATGACCTAGACTTCAGAAGGCAAGTACCCCTGCAAAGCATCTAATTAATCTAACTTTCCCTGACTGGGTACATTTTACAACAGAGGCCTGGAATATGATCAGTCAGCAGTTATGAAGACCCAAAGAAATCCAACTGCTAATATTCTTCAGTTAACTCATATAGAGAATGAGATCATCTAATTAGGCAACTGTTCTGTCTACTAATAACTTGAGATGGAATATAATATAGCAACTTTTTAAAATATCTGAAGTATAGAATTGTAGAGCCAAAAGGAACTTTAAGAGACATCTAGGATAGAAGGGTTCATAAGGAAGACAAGTCTTAAAGATATTCAGAAAAGAAGCTTCCCCAGCTTCCCTTCCTCCTTTCAATTGTTTAACCCAGCTTATGGCAACAATTTATATTAACTAATACATGATCATAATTTCTACTATGAGAGAGCTCATTTTCATCCTTGCTCTTTCTCTTTCACCCTCTGAAGAACTAGAAGGTAGCAGGCAGAGGTGAGGTTGTCTTTCATTTTGGAACAAGAAACCAAGGAATCAAGCCATGCAGAATATCAGGGCTTCAGGCCTTACCATGAAGATCTCATCATACATCAGTACCACTTTTTCCTTCAGTGGTTTTTTGGAGGCTGAAGATTTCCGGAGCAAACCCCCCCGTTTCTCAACCTGTGCCATGATTATAGAATCTGTGAAAAGAATGCCAGAGTTAGTGCCAGAAACACTCTCCAAGATTCTAGAGACTCTACTGAAATACCGCTAAATGGGAAATTTTTTAGAAAGAAATGATAAACAGCCATGCTATAGGTCTTGCACATCTGTTTCAACACCCGCTCCCCTGACCAGGTAATTTCAAGGTTTAAATCGTTACTGGCCTACAGCACAACACATTTCACATCCTTAAAATTTTCCAGTGAACAAGACTTAATGCAGATCCAAAACCAAGCAGGAAAGTGTAACTAGCTCCATCTGTAATAGGTCTGACTATATATTTGAGATTGATGGAGGGAAGGCTGCAAAGTACACACTGCCCCAGACTGATGGTAAAGTTAAATTTCAAGTATTGATCAAGCTTAGGACCATTAAGACAGGAAGTGTGCTGCAGACTGATGTGCTCCATTGATTTTCCCCAAAGTAAGTAGGTTCTCGTCACTGCAAGGCCTTCACTGCCTCATAAATCACAATGCACTTGACTGTCTTCAGAAATTCCTCTGGAAAGAGACCCAAGGTAGAAAACAGCAGTTAAAGACCAAAAATTTAACTTGATTTCAAAATAACTGAATATAACAATACATTCCTTTAGAATTTAGTTATACATGTATATATACAAACGGTTTCAGATCAAACCTCAATGTATTTTTCAATTCTATATAAAAACAGTTCCATGAATCATGCCCAAATTTCCCCATCTTGCTTCAAGGAATTCTCAATTTTTTTTTTTTTTTTAATCCTCACCCAAGGATATATTTATTGATTTGAGAAAGAGAGAGAGAGAGAAAGAAACATCCATGTGAGAGAGAAATATCAATCAGTTGCCTCCCTTACACACCCTGACCAGGGATTGAACCTGCAACCTAGGTATGTACCCTGACTGGAAATCAAACCCACAACCTTTTGGTGTACGGGACAACACTCCAACCAACTAAACCACCAAGCCAGGAATAGGAATTCTCAGATTTTTAAATAAGAGCTTGAAATCCAACAGGATTTCACTGTGGATTTACACATATTCCCTTACTCCCTTGATTCTTCCTACCTGGAAGAGACCAAATTCCTGTCTCTCTTAAATTCTAGACTCTAGTTGTAAAACAATCTCAACCAATGGTAAGTATGGGGGGTAGCAAGGAGCCTGATTTTTTTTTTTTTATCCACACCTGAGGACATTTTTGCATTTATCTTCAGAAAGAGCAGGAGGGAGAGAGGGGGAAAGAGAGAAGAAGAGAGAGACAGAAACACTGATGTGAGAGAGACACATCGACTAGTTGCCAACCCACATCGACTAGACCCCAACCGGGGCTGGGGAGAAACTGCAAGGGAGGTATGTGTCCTTAGCGGAAACTGAACCCCGTACTCTCTGGTCTGCGGGCTGCCACTCTAACCGCTGAGCCAAACCGGCAGCCAGAGCAAGGAGCCTGATTTTTACTTCCAGACAAAACCGAAGCAGCAGAACAAAATTAATTTTGTTCAGTAACTTTTGGAAAATATGCAATACCTTTCAAATAAAAATAAAAATTTTATTTAAGGAACAGATACATCAAATAGCATAAAAGATTATATCTCAGACATTGTCTTTTTCTAATACACATAGCAAAAAAAGAGATTCACCTCTGAACACAAAACACACAAAGCACATAAAATTTGCCCAAGTAGATATTAGGAATCTTTAGCAAAGGGAGTACATCTTATACTTTTTTTGTAAGCCTCTGGCTCATGGTAAATGTATAGTGTATGCTCATCACTGACTGATTCTGAAATGAGGTAGGTGAGGGGAGACCTGAAAAGTACTAGATCTGACATAAAATTTTAGTAAGACCTATCTTTATTGAGGCCTCACTAAGCCCTCAAATTCCATTATAGTCTACCGAAAACAAGGGAAAAATACCAACAACAAAGAAAAGATTCTTGTGGGCAATTATTTTATATTGATCATGCCTTTGCCTTAAAGCATGAAATACAGCCTCTGTTCAAAACATTCCTGTGTCTTTTAAATAGGCTGTCAAGAGAAAGGTGTCTTTATAGGGGAGAAAACAAATTGGAAATCAAGAAGATCCTATTAAAATAAATCAAAAGCAATGCTATTCCAAGCTTAGTACCAGTTGATTAGCAGGAATAGCGGGAACCACGAGTTCCTGGATGTGAAAAGCACATGTTTACAAATATCTCCCGCTGAGGATTTATAATTGGGTTACAGCTAATCAATATCTACCCCAAATCTAATAAACTCACTTTCTCTATATCAGAATCAATACTTTCTAATAAGCAAAAGGGAACAGGAGAGGAGGGAAAAACAATCCCAATCCAAAATACCAAATTTCCTAAGAAATTAAATTCTTTTCATCATTCTCCTTCAATTGGGAGCAGGGGGAAAATTCAACCAAGGGCTTCAACTCATTACTCTCTGTCATCATCACAGGCAACTGGAATTTACCACCCAGGCTGTCAAAAATGTGACCTGAAATCAACAACATAAAGTCTCTTCCTCCTCCAGCACTTCTATCCATGAAACAAAGCAAAAAAGGATATGTCTAGGATATGTCTAGGGTGGTGGACTGAGAGAAATGTAGAATTCTTATAGAAGTTTTTGTTGAATTTTTTGGGGGGGGTGGGGGAGGGAGGTGTCTCAGAAGTTAAGCCTGTGCTCCTAAATTTGAAAGTGAAATATCTGACTGGTAGAGCAGTTAACTGCAACACATCAGTAATGTGGGTGCAATCTGTTTACATCCTCTCTGTGCTTTTTTCCTCTTTCACAATCCTCCTCTGTTGTAGAGAGAATCAGTACCAGCTGAGGAGCAGCAAGGCCAATTGGAACAACCAACCAGCAGAACCAAGACTAGAACACAAGTCTCCCAACCAACCAGATGATAGAGTAAGTACTTCTCAGTTTCCTTACAAGTAAAACAAGGAGATTGGACTAGACATATCATCTAATGATTCTCTCAGCATCACTTAAATACCATAAACACATAAGGAACACCTAAATATTATAAAACACTAGTTTAGGCACTAGGGGGTTACAAAGAGCAAACTCCGCCCTGGCCAGTTTGGCTCAGCGGTTAGAGTGTCAGCCCGCGGACCAGAGGGACCCGGGTTCGGTGTCGGCTAAGGGCATGTACTCTCAAAAAACCCCAAAAAAACAAAGAGCAAACTCCATACCTGATCCTCTGGGAGCTATCTATTGACAGAGACAGACACATAATAATGCATAGCACAAGGTAAATAATGAGATACAAATAGAGTAAAAGTACCAAAAAAAAGCTACGGGAACACAGGAAGGGAAAGAAACATATGATCTTCGTTGATTCAGGCTTTTAAATCCTTGTGGTGAAAAGCAAATACAGCAAAGCCACAGTAATCCCACAGAAATACCATTTTAGGCTTAATACAACTTCTCAGAAATAAAAGAGAACCAGGAAACTTTTTAATACTAATTTCATTTACCACCAAACTTAGGAATGGCTTCAGATTTCCCCAACTCAATAGTAAATAAATTAAGTATTTTATTCCTAAACCTCCAGGACTGCTGGTCCCATGACCTGCAGCACAGCTTCTCTCTGAAGATCCAAGTCATGCAACTTCTTAAGAACTCTATCTTATTGATTTTTTTTTCTTTTTTTAGAGAGAGAGGAAGGGAGAGATAGAAACATTGATGTGATTGAGCCCACAACCCAGGAGTGTGCCCTGACCAGGAATCAAACCAGGACCTCTCAGTCTATGTATGGGCTGATGCTCAATCCACTGAGCCACACCGACCAAGCTTAAGAACTGTATCTTAAAGCAATCCAGCCACTTTTTTTTTTAAATCTTCACCCAAGGATATTTTTCCATCTATCTTCTGATAGTATAGGGAGGAGAGAGAAACAGAGAAACATCAATGCGAGAGAGACATAGATTGGTTGCTTCCCTCACGACCCCGACCAGGGCCAGGGACCAAACCCCAACTGAGGTACATGCCCTTGATCAGAATCAAACCTGCGACTCTTTGGTCTTCAGGCCGACGCTCTAACCACTGAGCAAACCAGTCAGGGCCACCTACTTCTTTGTTTTGTTTTTTTATCCTCACCCGAGGACATTTTTCGATATTTTGTTCAGATAGAGTGGGAGGGAGAGAGAGAGAGAGAGAAACATCGACGTGAAAGCGACATATCGAGTGGTTGCCACCCACACGACCCAACCAGGGCTGGGGACAAACTGCAACCAAGGTACGTGCCCTTAGCGCGAACCGAACCCGGGTCTCTCCGGACCGCAGGCCGACACTCTAACCACTGAGCCAAACCGGCCAGGGCCCACCTACTTCTTAATATGCATCACTTCACATTCCTACAGGATGAAAAAGCCAAATATCCAGATTTAAAACCTAAAGCCAACTCTTCCAATGTCTGATATGCAAAGAATGCTAGTTACACTTAGCTATTCATTTATTTTGTCTTCATAAGTACAATATATGCCAACTCTAGAATCAAAAATAACTTTTTTTATCCTCACTGGAGTATATTTTTCTATTTATCTTCAGATAGAATAGGAAGGAGATAGAGTAAGAGAAGGGGAGAGAGAGAAACATCGATGTGAGAGGGTCACATCAACTGGTTGCCTCCTGGATGACCAGGGCCAGGGATGAACCGCAACCGAGGTACGTGCCCTTGGCCAGAATCAAACCCACGGCTCATTGGTCCAAAGGCCAACATTCTACCAAACCAGCAAGAGCTCAAAATTAATGTAATAGAAATTCACTCTGATTTTGAGAGAGCTGCCACAGTTAATCTATCAAAAGTCTTGGGCCCTTGCTGGATGGCTGGGTTGGTTGGAATATTGTCCCGTACACCAAAAGGTGGCAGTTTGATTCCCGGTGAGGATACATACCAGGGTTGCAGGTTCAATCCCCAGTCAGGGCACATATGAAAGGCAATCAATCAATTCATATTTCCTTCTCACATCAATGTTTCTCTCTCTTCCCCTTCCTTTCTCTCTGAAAATCAATAAAAATATATCCTTGGGTGAAGATTAAAATAAATAAGTAAATAAATAAAATTTTAAAAAGAAAAAGTCTTGCCCTGGCCAGTTTTTCTCAACGGTTAGAGCATTGGCCCACAAATCAAAGCATCTTGGGTTTGATTCCGGTCAAGGGTACATATCCCAGTTGCAGTTCCTCCCTGGCCCTGGTCGGGGTCATGCAGGAGACAACCAATCAATGTGTGTCTCTCCCATCGATGTTTCTCTCTCTCTCCCTCCTACTCTATCTGAAGATAAATGAAACATTATCTTCAGGTGAGGATCAAAACAAATATGTGTGTGTGTGTGTGTGTGTGTGTGTGTGTGTGTGTAAATAGAATTACCATAAGATCCAGCAAGCCCACTTCTGGGTATACAACTGAAGGAAATAAAATCACTATCTAGAAGAGATATCTGCACCCCCATGTTCACTGCAGCATTACTCACAAAAGCCAAGACATAGAAACAACCTAAGTGTCCAAAGATAGATGACTAAATAAAGAAAATGTAGTGTATATATAA